GGGCCCCGATCCGCGCGCCCCGCTGCCCGCCGCGCTGCCGCTGGGGCTGAGCCTGCTGCACGCGCTGCTCTACGGCGGCCTCTTCCTCTTCGCGTACCTGCAGCTCTGGCTGCTCTTCTGCTACCGCGAGCGGCGGCTGAGCTACCGCAGCGTGTGCCTCTTCCTCTGCCTGCTCTGGGCAGCGCTGCGCACCGTCCTCTTCTGCGCCTACCTGCAGAGCGCCCTGCGCGCCGGGCCGCTCCGGCTGCCGCCCTTCCCGCGCTGGCTGCTCTTCTGCCTGCCGGTCTGCCTGCTCTTCGCCACCGTCTGCCTGCTCGCGCTCTACTTCGCCGAGGTAAGTGGCGGGCCGGCTCGGCTCGGCTCGGCTCCTGGGCGCCGGGCGCCGATTCTCGCTCCCCAGTGATGTCAGACACGCGTGCACGCATGCACACAACCGGGCACGCCTCCCTCCTCCCCTCCCCCCCGCCCGCCTGCGCGCTTCGCGGCGCTGCTCTCCGCCGTTGTTTACCACATTTGGGCGCATCTGCCAGGCGCGGGCCGGGCCCCCCCCGCGCCGGCCCCCCCCCCCGTGCAGGGCGCGCGCCCCGGCTCCGCTGCGAGCCAGCGAGGGGCTCCCGGGCCGCCCGCGGGGGTCGCCAGCGGCCGCGGCGGCAGCCCGGGGGCTCGGCGGGACGAGGGCGCCCCCAGCCTGACGTCAGCGCCCGGAGCTGCTCCTGCCTCCCCATTGTTGCGGGCCGCCGCCCCCCCCCCCCGTTCCCCGGGAAAGGGGCAGGGCGCCCGCAGGGAAGGACCCGGTGCTTGGGGGCCTGCCCCCCCCCGGCGCTGCGGTCCCCGCTCGGCATCGGGGGCGGCCGCCCTGGTCGCAGAATAGTTCTGCCACTTAGTCATCTCCTCCGGCGGATGGGTCAGCGGGGAAGGGCTGGCGTTTTCCGTGCTGCCCTGGCTGGTTTCGCACCTCCACCCCGCTGTGGTCGTCTGAATCACGAGGTTTCAGCTCCTTGCATCAGCTTTCCCTGGCCTGGGGCTCCCGTGCTCCCCGACAGCACTCCCCTCGGCCGGTCTGGCTGGGGATAATGGGACTTGGAGGCAGCACATCTGGAATGCACCAGGCTGGGGAAAGCTGCATTAAACAGAGTTCTGTTTTACTTCCTCTACAAAGCAGTGTGTGTGTCCCGGTGCAGCTACAAGGCTTCTGTATCTCTTACAGCATCTCCGTCTTCTTGGACATAAGTGGTCCTGTGTTGATCGGGGCTTATTCCTAGGCACGTTTTGCAACCTTAGACATACGCGCTCTCTTATATTCTTGTTCGGCCCTCTTGCTGCGAGCAGCACGGGATGCTCTCTTTCAGCAAGCGTTTCTCCGGCTCTCAGATTGTACTTTCTCGCAGTTGTCCGGGGTCGTCTGCCGAGTCTGCGCTGCAAAACTGTCTTGTCACTTAGGATGCCGTGTCAACAATGATTTCATTCTCCCAGGGACCCGAGCGGTTCACATGATAAGCGCAAGAGATGCTGCTCTTCTCACTGTTAAAAATAAGCACGGATTTTGCGATGCTTAAAACCCCCCCTCTGGGTTTAGACAGAAGAGTTTGATGCAGAAGCGACCACCTTTATCCTGTTGCACTTGCTTGGGAGTAGACCCGTGAGCATGGTGGAGCTGAACATCTGTGCAGATGTGCAAGGGATTGGCCCACATCGGCTGGGGGAGCTGCAGGGAGAAGGATCATGGACAGGACATCCCTGTGCGCTCCCTGGGAGGCCCTGCTGGGGTTGATCAGGGCTCGTTGTTTGTGATGCCGTTACAAAAACGACGTTGTGGCAAACTGCAGGGATCATCCCGCCAAGCCAGATGTGAGCTCTGGAAGAGGATCGGGGCAAGGGGAGCCATCTGGGTCTGGCAGTGACCTTCTGGTTGACTCCTTTTTTGCACCTGGAATCGACCTTTGAGAGGAATCCAGGCCGTTAGGATAATTAATTTATTTCGTTTCATTTCTCTGCCGCCCCATAGCTGAAGCTCCCGGGTGGGTTACAGCAGTGCACGAAACAAAGCAATAAGATGAAAAAACAAAACAAGGTTCACATGAGTTTAAAATAGCTGAACAAGATGCAGTAAAAATACGGCCCTGCAAAGGGAAGGAATCAATCACTCCCAGGCCCGTGGTAACCAGGAAGGTCTGTCAAGGCCTCCTTGTGAATTGCTGCCTTAACCTGGTGCTGGAAAGATACCAAGTTTGGCACCAGGCAGGCCACAGCGGGGAGATCGTTCCAAAGATGGGGCCACCACCAAGAAAGCCCCCCCCCCTTGCCTCCTGTGGGGTTGCCACAGAGTTGGGCACAGTGTCTGAGTAAGGCTTTACAGGTCCAAACCAGCCTTGGAATTGGGTCCAGAAGCAGGCAGGCCAGAACCGGCCCTGTATGTTCAGACTTACGGAGGGCGCTGTCTAGTGCTAGGCCACACCGTTGGTTCTGGTAGATGGCAGAATGGGGGTGCCTGACCCCTGTGCCCCCACTTCCACTGGGGTCGCCTTCGTTGCATGCTCTGCTTGGGCTCCGAAGTTCCTTTGCTCAGCAGCTGCTTGCGTGTGAAGCGTTCTTTCCACAACCTGGTGTTAACTCTGCTGAGGTCCAGAGACTTCCCTGGCCTGCAGCGTCTCCCTGCCTGGTTTTGGGAGATCCAGGTGGACGCCAGCACCATGGGTTTCCCTCCCCAGCCCGGCAAAGCAGCTGCGATTAGCATTATTCCATTGCACCGGCAAGCTGCCCTTTTCCTCACCCAAGGCGACTGGCATAGCTCAGCTTTATCCCCACAACAACAGCCCTGTGAGGTAGGATGACCGGCCCAGAGGCAGCCAGGGAGCTTTCTGGCTGGGTGGAGACTAGAACCAGGCCTGCCAGTTCCCGGTCCAGCGCGCGATCGCCCTGCCACGCTGGCTCTGAGCAGGCCGTGCATGGGCCGAGCGCACGCCTTGCTCCAACGCCGAAGGACGTGTCCTGCGGAGGGCGAGGGGCAGCCCCGGCCGCAAGAGGGTGCGATGCAGAGAAGCGGTCTTGGCTGAGTTCAATCCACGGGGTGTGGAAAGACCGGCCTCTTTGCTGGAGAAACCCGGGCACTGTGACCAGTGGGAGCAGGCAGTGGGTGGGTTTGCATGACCCCGACCCCTGCAGCCACCCTGGGCTGGACATGGCTGGGGACAGTGGTGCTGGACCAGCGACTGAGGCCGGGGGGCATCCGTGGGCGCTGCCTCTCCCTGCGCCACCCTAGTGCTTCAGCCGGTCACCCACGGGACGCCGATGCCCCACCCCGTGGAGGTGGGCGAACGGCCCTCTTTCCGGGCATGCCCCGTCCCGAGTGGGGCTCGGAGAGGCCTCCATTGGGCAGGCGCCAGAGCTGCCACTGGCCTGGCACACGTCCTCCTCGCAAGGGAGGAGGCGGGCAAAGGGGGCCGGGGGAAGCCGCCCCTCCCCACCCCCACCAGTGTGACGGCCTGCAAAGCTGGGGTGGGTTTTCTGACCCCACAACAAGCCACGGGCACTTGGGCCGGTCTGCAGATCACCCCAAGGGTAGCCGGGTGGGCTCAGCAGACTCAGTAACGAGGCAAAGGAGCCCCCAGGTGGGGGCCAACTCGCCTTATGAGCTTCCAGGACCGTTCTCGGTGCCAGAGACTTGGAACGGTCTGCATGCAGCAGGCAGAGCTCAGCTGAGGTGTTGGCCTGCGTGCAGCGGAGTCCTGCTTCCTGGTCGCAGCAGCGAAGACTCCCGTGGGAACCCCAAGACGAGCCAGCTTGCTCCGTCAGTGGTTTTGCGGACTTTATCAGTTGCACGGGGGATTAGGGAGAAAAGTATACCTGCCCGGTTTGTAACTGTGTCCATTTGCTTTAAATCCCCTGTGCATGAAGCTAGTTTATAATATGATTGTCCCTTTTGCATTTCTGACCTCGCCATTCACTATCCTCCTCCTCTTACATACAGAGACCAGGCAGATATGCCTGAAACTTTCTGTAGTTCTCCATACAGGCACAACCCAGAAAAGTTTGTGCCAGAATGAATTTCTTTGTCTTCAAGATGCTGCAAGATTCTTTGTTAAATGTGGAATGTATCTGTGCCTCCTAGGAGACCACCATGGGTCATAAAATGCTCCATCTTTCCCGCAATTGGTTAGGTCGAGCCTCCTCCAACCCCTGGGACCCTCGTCTCCAGAATTGCATATCCCATGAAGTATGAAATATATTCATGTAAACAAAATTCCTTCAGCAAACCACCAAGGTGGACGGCTTCTGCAAGCTGCAGACTTGGGTGTCCCGATTTTATTGCTGAAGTCATAAAAACGTTTATGGTAGGCCAGGCTTTACTTTTGAGGAAGATGGGGGGAAAACAAGCCAGTCCCACAGAGAGCAGAACTGGATGACGACCTTGGACAAGGGTTTCTTCCTCGAACTTTTGTTCCTGATTTTAACCATTTGTGCAGGGCCGTTTCTGCAGAGTCACCTTCCTTTGGCGGACGAGAACGCGCAGGGAGCTTGCATGCAGCCCATAAACCAAAGTGGGAGAGAACTGCTTGGAGTTGATCTGCCCAAGGGCGGAGGGCTTTTTACTCCTCGTGGAAGGACAGTCTTCCCCAGCCTGGTGCTCTCAGATTATAACCCCTCAGAGACACCATGTCAGTTGCTGGGGAACATGGGCTACCATGCCCTGTCCCGCTTCTGAGTTTCTGCAGGCAGCTGGTTGCCTGCTGTGGACAGAAAGCAGGGCTGGATGGACACTGCATGGGATTTGCAGTTCTGGAGACGAGGGTCCCAGGGGTTGGAGGAGGCTGGACCTACCAATTGCGGGAAAGACGGAGCATTTTATGACCCACGGGGGTCTCCTAGGAGGCATAGATACATTCCACATTTAACAGAGAATCTTGCAGCATCTTGAAGGCAAAGAAATTCATTCTGGCACAAACTTTTCTGGGTTGTGCCTGCACGGAGAACTACAGAAAGTTGCAGGCATATCTGCCTGGTCCCTGTATGTAAGAGAAGGAGGATTGTGAATGTCGGGTGGAGGGTTGTGTGAACGTGTGCCCAGTTGGAGAGTTTTACTGAGGTTCATGCAAACCTGAGGGAGGTGTGCAGAGTGATGTACACCTTTCTCGCTCCCTCGTAATACCAGCACTTAGAGGGGGTCCTCTGTGAAGTTGTGGGGGGGAGATGCAGTGCAGTGAATGAACTGGAATAAGCAAACAGGTGAAAATTACATGAATCAGAAGCATCAGTTTTTGTCTTTCCAAAACACACAAATAGGGCAGGTGACAGGTAGGCCAGGTGCTAAACATCCTGGGCTATCCGTTCTAAACAAATATGAAGGGCCAATGCCAAACACGGCGCTGGAGGAGAGCTTGTTTGGGCCCACAGAAGGACGAACCAGCGGATCCAATCAAGCCAGAACTTTCTCCGCAAGCAAAAGGGACACTATTGGGGCTGTTATACCTGCGGCACTTCTTGAGAAGGCCAGACTCCCTGGAGAAGATGGTCATGCTAGGAAAAGTCGAAGGCAGAGATGGATCAACTGTGTGAAAGAAGGTTGAGGTTCCAAGAGCTGAGCAGAGCTGGCAAAGACAGGGCTGTTTGCGGGTTGCTTCCTCGGAGGGTTGCCATAAGTTGGAGATGACTTGAAGGCACACTGCTACTACCACTGTTTCTGGCTTATACGCATGAGCATGGAATACAATATAATGTCATAGATGCCTCTCACGAGTGGTGACAAAGTGCTGTCCTGACTCACAGTGAACTTTTGATAACCACCCAGGCAGCCTCAGCTATTGGGTGGAATAAGAATGAAACAAATTATTTCAACAATGGCTTTATCTATTTAAAACGAGAGGTGTTCCATTACAGGTGATTGCCTACATTTTCATGCAAGTCTGAGCTTCTTTACATACTAGTTCAGATTGTTTGGGACTGATCTTGGTTCTGAAGAGTTGTGTAGGAATCATAGCACAATTACCATTTAGTCTACCAATTCATGTTTGTAAGCCTGCATTGGCTTAAGAACTGATTTTTTGCAGAGTGAAATACCGTACACCAGTTTGTTAATTCCAGTGCTTCAGCCATGAACGAGTCTTTCTGCCGGACTGTTCGGTCCTCGTGGCTCGGCTTGTTGTGTGCAGAGGACCGAAAAGGGATGCCCTCCGCACAGCAGTGTCCAGTGATGGAATTCACTTCCTCAAATGCCGGCCACTAATGCGGGTGGCACTAAAAGGGGATTGCTGCGTTCATGAAGGAGAAGGCAGTCAAAGGTGCTAGTCCTGATGGCGGTGTGCTACCTCCAGGGTCAGGGGAACATGGGCGGGGGATGCTGTTGCCCCCATGCCCTCTCGTGGGCTTCCATGGCAGTTGATTAACCCCTGTGTGTACATGTTAGGGTTCCGACTTCCATCATCCCCAAGTAGGAAATCCAATACATCTGGAAGGCCCCAGGTTGGCTATAGTCATCCAAAGAAAGCTGCCCTCCACCCAGGCTCAGCTGGTCTCACTGAAGTTTCATCCCTAAACTCAGAACTCACCTGGGCCCCCGTCGAATTGACTAAAGCTGATACAATAGCATGGATTGATTTAGCATGTCTTCAATGAACTGAATCCACCTATGCTTTAGCATTATAACTCTGAAAGAAAAAAATGTCTTGGAGGTGGTAGGATCTTTTGATTTAACCGGCACGGTGGGCTTTTCCACCCAAGGAATTTCATCTGCACGTCTGCTTTCCGTTCTGTTGCAAAATCGAGGGCTGAATACTATGGAGGATTTCCTTGCATGGTCTTTGGCTCCCTGATCTTTAGCAGAACAGTGTAATTACAGAACGGGGAAACGCGTTTCTTCAAAAAACCTGCATTTCCTGTGCTTTAAGATAAACTTAATCCAGCGTGTTCCTTGGGTGCAGAAGTAAAGCTGGAGGTCGTGATATCATGTGAAGAAACCGTGGACGGCCCCGCACGGGGATGCACCGGGGCACAATAGAGTCTCGAATGAGAAGGCGCGGGCATCCGGTAGCTGGAGTCAGCTGTCAAAAGCTCCACGGAGAAACTCCCACAGTGACCTTCCGTGAACTGATGGGGCGCACACGGGCACAAGTAACAATACACATCTTGAATTACAAGGATTCTGACAAAAGTTAAAAAAAAAAGCCAATTGCATGCCGCAGGTAACTCTTGCCGTTTCTAAATGTAGGAAGGCTCTGGCCCAAGGTGTGGGGTGGGACCTCCACGTCCCCCGCCCGCCCTCCAAAGCAATCCTAGGCATGCATGCAGCTGAAATGAGCAAAGTGCCCCGGAGTGGCAAATACTGCTTGCCAACAGCTCCGCCGTCCAAGTTGCATCACACACACAAAGTGCACAGTCACGGATCTGAGCACCAAGCCACAACTTTTTGAAGATGTCTCCTGTTTTCACGGATGGGGAGAAGCGACTCCAGAACAAAAATGTCCAGGGAATGATTCAAGTGGCCACCAAGGCTGCTGGAGGGTCCTTGTCGGAGTGTTGTTAACCCAAGCGGAACGACGTTGTTGAGAAATGTGTAGTTGTGTGTTTTGCACGGGGTTCTGCCGAGCAAACACGGCACAATTCCACTTTCTCTCCCTCTCCCCGCCGCCCCGGCCTCTTTCCTAGCAGAGACTCTGGGTGTTCTGCTTCCTCTGATCCCCTTCGTTTCCTCCAGTGAATGCAAGGGCATGTACAGAGTTCTTTATCTTCGTAACAACAGTTCTGCAAGGCTGTGTCGGGTCAGCCTGAAGGCAGCCAGGTAGCACCATGGCTGAAGGGGGACTCCAGAAAGGACCGCTGGGCCCCCGGCCAGGACTCGCATGGAGAAGGGAAAACACGCACCTGGTGTTTCTGTTCCAGAAGAAGGGAAAGCCGGTCTGTGAGTGGCCAGGTCAGCAAGCAGGTCTTCGTGACTGGCTCCAAATGAGGCAAGAGAAGTCGTGCTTTCCGGGCCAAAAAGAGCCGGAGGTGCAAAGAGGCCCCGAAGCGACAAAGTTGCCCACCTGCTGGAGAAGCGCAAGCCCCTTTGCGAGGGCCGTGCCAAGAGGCGGCCCCCACAGGCCCAACCAGCGTCTGCGGGGCTTCTCTTGGCACGGCAGTGACCGACGTCGCTGCACCTGGCGCCGTCCGGACAGGGGGATCCCAGCTCCCGTTTAGCCCGGCCAGCTTCTTGGAGCATGTGCAGAGTCGTCTCTGGCAGGTGGTGCGGATCTCCCCTTGGGCGCGCACCGCGCCGGGGCTCAGCCACGAGGGACAGCTGGCGAGGCTGTGAATTTGGCATTCTTGGGTGGTCCTCCTGGCCAAAGGGCGGGCAGGGAATAAAGCTTGCTCTTATCGTTCTGGCCTCCTGGAATATCGCTTCAGACAAATTCTGCTTTTCATGGGGAGGGGGTGTGTACAGTGTGTTCTCGGGTACGCAAGAGGATTTCTGCTGCCATTTCAGGATACGAGGAAAACCTTTCCCTGGACCATAACAGAGAGAGAGAGAGAACCTCTCCTCAGTGTTCCTCATAGTTCTCCAAGCCGCTTTGGCGCATTTTCGGCTCATGTGCACCATCCTGGCAATGTGCCACAGGGCGTGTGCTGTGTGGGCAACCCATGGCGAGCCAGCCAGCCTGTCTTGCTAGCCCCCCTCTCCCTCACCTGTGTTCGGGGTTGCCCCGCAGGTGACATGATCTGCAGATGGGCTCTGGGTTCCTGCAACTTCCCGCACCCCCCGGCCGCCGCTTTTCCTGTTGCTTTTGTTTTCAGAGATCATGCAAACAGGCCCGATCCCCATTTGCTGGTCACCAGCTGCCCCTCCCGAAAGCTCACAGGCTTGCAAAAATCGCATCTTCTGCCAGGCTGTGGCCAGCTGGGTCGGAAGAAGGCAGAAGCAATTCGCCTCTTGCAACTCCAGCTTGTTTTTTCGGCCCTGCTCTCTGACCTATCAAGATCATCTTGGATATTATTTCTATCTTCCGGGGTATTAGCTATCCCACCCTGTTTTGTGTTATCTGCAAATCTGATAATTGTTCCTGCACTTCCTCATCCAGGTCATTAAAAAAATGTTGACGAGCACCTTGCCCAGGACTAAACCCTCCGATACTTGTTCCCTCTCCCCAGTTGGAGAAGGTGCCTTTGAGTCCGATTCTGTGGCCGACTGTGGATCCAGCTGACCGTGGTTCCATCTGGCCCACTTCTAGCTCGTTTGCTCATCAGGATATCATGGGGCACTTTGTCAGAAACTTTTCAGAAGTCAAGATTTTTACACTCTACCAGGGAGGTTACCCAATCCACATTTCTCTGCTTTGGAACATCCCGTGGTTTCTCTGACAGATTGTGGGATTTGGACAATTTTTGCCAGCCTGGTGCTCTCCAGATACTTCTCCCAGGATTCTTGACCCTTGTCCATGCTGGCTGAGAGGGAGTGGAAGTTGAAAACTTTGGGGGGCACCAGGCTGGGGACGGCTGGCGAAGGGAGGCCTGGCTTCAGTCTGTGCTTTGGGCTTCCCGGGGCAAGGCCTGTCTATTCACATGTGTGCTTGGCATCGAACTGGTGGTGATATAGCTTGTCTCCTGAGAGCGACGGACAGGATGGAATGAGGCAGCGGGAAGCGCCGTCACCTCAACGCTCTTCTCTCTTCCCCCAACAGGTTATCTTCAAGGTCAAGTGCGCAGCTGAATTCAACAAGTACAGGTAGGTCTCTTGTCTGGGGCTGTACCTTGTGGCCGACTCATTGGTGCAAGCTTTCACGGAGGACAAAGATCTGTCCTCAGGAATAGGTGCGGCCTGTCCACAAGCAAAGCTCCCAGAGGTGGACTGGCAAACCTTGCTCAGCCCAGGAGCCAGATTCCATCTCTGAGAAAGCTGGGTGGGACCACTCACTCACACACACACACCTGTGCAAATCTGTGTGCTTGTACATGTACTCCTTCCACACATGCCTGTAGGCACACTCATACAGCCCTTCTCCAAACACTTTCCTGTGGTTGCAGCTAAATGTTTAAAATATGGCTTCCCGCACTCAAGGCTTTCCAGGAGGTCCCCGTCTCTCCTTCCAGGCACCCAAAGGTCCCACGTCTCCATGTACCTGCATCACCTTTGCACACCACCTGCTAGTTCTGTATTCACAGCAGTTCAGGCTTCCTTGCACAAGAAGTCGTTGAAAAGAAACTGGACAATCTCTTTTGTTGCCGAGGACGTGACTTTCGGGACAAACCCGTTCCAGCCTTTCGAACTGGAGCGAGAGGCAAGCCAGAGCGGGTGCCGCTTAGCTGAAAGCGACCGCGTGTGGAAGCGTGCAACATTTTCCTCTGTCTTAAGCACAGCTGATGTTTTAAGGCCACGTACAGCCACCGCCCCCCAGCTGGCACCCTCCAGAGCCTTTGGACTGCAAATCCCAGGGTCCCTGAGCCCCCCAGTATGTACACAGAGAGCCTCTATTTCTGCTTGCTTTCCGTGTCATCTCACTGTGTCCCCTGTCTGTTTTCTGCTGCCCTGTGGCCAAAACCCTTCTTGTATACTTCACTTCGGGAAAGGTGAGGGAATGCAGCTTGTGTTAAATTAACCAGGAACAGGAGCAAGATGCGTCCTGCAGCGAAGCCCAGCGTGCGCCTCCGGAAGGCCCTGCTCACGTCCGCGTTGTTCCTCTCTTTCCAGGGCGCTCTTGTACGCGGGCTCCATATTCACCAGCCTTCTCTTCGTCTGCGTGAACCTGACGTGCACCTTGTTAGCCCGGGATGATGTGCCGGAAGATCAGCTGAGGTGGACGCTCCTCGCCCGGGCCCTGATCAATGACAGTCTGTTCATTTTCGGTGCCGTCTTGCTCGCGTTTTGCATGTGCAAACTGTCGAAAATGTCTTCAGCAAATGTTTACCTTGAGTCAAAGGTAAGAGAGCGAGAGAGCAGAACCCTGTGCGGGGTGGTTTGAGCACAAAATGAAAAAATCGGTGGCTTTCTGTATTTAAAAGCGGGGACCCCCACGTCTGGGTTCCAAAAGCTTGGAAGTGCATGGGTAGTCCCTGAGTTGCTTTTTATTTTGTGCTCTGAATGCCGGCTCTGTTCCATCCCTGAAAGGCGCTTGGACCAGTCCCCAAGTTAAAATGCAGAAACAGAGTAGGAGGGGAGATTTCAGGAGATAAGTCTTCTCTGTCCCACTAGAGAATCTACAGAAACATTATGGTTTCTGGGATGGAAACAAACAAATGCTCATCTGTGAGAGGACTGACAGATCAGCTGATGCCTCTGTAAGCAAAGGCACTGGATGGGTGAGCGATTCATCCCCACGCTCAGACTTTGGAACCCCGAAGAGGCAACGGCAGGCCTCTCCCATCTAAGGAAATAAATTGTGCCTCCAGGTGTTGAATCCAGTGCAAATTTATACTCCTGAAAGGGCACAAACCCAAATTGCAAACACCCCTGAAAAATGAGCATTTTCACACTTCGGCCAATGGGAGAAATGTGCATCTTTGGAGGTGTTTCGTGTGTTTTTATGGCTGAGCTGCATCGAATAAGCCCAGGTCTGCAAGCTCCTGGAGTCGGCACCACGTGGCTGGCGTCAAAACTGGTTTGCTGTGGACTGGGCAGCTCGGCCTCCCTGAGCCTGTGACACTTTCTGCCCCTCAGGAGGTTCCAGGCCTGGCTGGGATGCCAAGCAGGTAGCAGCAGCTTCGGGTGGCGTGTTCCAAGCCCAGCTGTGCTTGCGCTGGACGCCGCCTCGGCTGCAAAAGCGGAGCAGGCAGGGGGCTGCCCCGGAAGGGATCTCGGGGGCTTGTCCCGGCGCAGCATCCTGGGCACCTGGATGGAAAGCGGCCCCCTTGGGCAGTGAGCCCTTTCAAAGGCAGCTGCCCTGCGTGATGCGGGCACAGGGCGTGAACAGCACCCTCCTGTGTGGGATTACTCAGAAGCGAGCTTGCTTGGGGGTCCCGTGGGGCTTAGGGCAGAAAAAGGCCTGCCGTGTGCGAAGGCTTTAAATGCCAAGGCAGAGCATCCGCTTTGGCCCTTACAGGGCTCCCGAAAGTGGTCACTCACCTTGGCAGGATCAGGACCGTAGTCCAGGTGTGCGAGCCCCGGTTTTTATTGTGGCTTGTGACTGATGGTTACATCTGCCTCCCTCCCTCCTGCAAGGAACTCAAGCCGGCCTACAAGTTCTGCTTTGTTTTCTCCCCACGTTTTCCTCATAACCCCCCGAGGCGGGTTCGGCTGAGAGTCAGTGCCGTGGGCTGTGCTGGCTGGGGATGATGGGGGTTGTAGTGCCATACCGCTGGAGAGCCCTAGGTGGGAAAGGCCAGGTGCGGAGTCCTGGCCCTGCACAGATGGGACCGGGGCTGCTGCAGGAGGAAGACCTGTGGAGACGCATCCAGGGAAAGACGGGCGAGGCGTGGGAGGGCGTGATGGGTGCGGTGCCCGCCCCGCTGCTGAACCAGGGCTGCCTTGGCTGGTTTCAGGGGCTGGCGCTGTCTGCTCTCGCCACTAGGGACTGGCAAGAGAAAGGTCTCGGAGTAACTGTGGACAATGGGCTAAACATGAGCCAGCAACGCGATGCAGCTGCCAAAAGGGCAAAGGCTGCTTTGGGGTGCATTAGCAGAAGCATTACTTCCAAATCAAGAGAAGTAGCAGTTCTCTACTCCTCACTCGTCAGGCCTCACCTGGAAGACCATGTCCAGATCTGGGCACCAGGATTTCAGGAACATGCAGAAAAATTAGAAAGGATCCAGCAGAGGGCAAGAAAAGTGATCCAGGGGTTAGAAACGCTGCCCTGTGAGGAGAGACTGGGAGAACTGGGCATGTTCCGCTTTGAGAAGAGAAGACTGAGGGGGACATGATCTCCCTCTAGAAGGACCTCAAAGGCTGCCCCAAAGGGAAAGGTCGAGATCTCTTCTCGCTGATGCCAGAGTGCAGGACATGCAGTAATCAGTTCAAGCTGCGACAACCCAGGTTCAGGCTGGACATCAAGAAGAGCTTTCCCACTGTCTGAGCAACATGGCAGTGGGACCGGCTGCCTTGAGAGGTGGGGGGCTCTCTCACACTGGAGACATTCAAGGAGAAACTGGGCAGCCCTCTGAGTGGGGTGGTGTGACTTGGTGTCCTGCAACCTCAGGGGTTGGACTAGATGGCCTTCATGGCCCCTTCCAGCTCTGCTATTCTATGATTCCATGATCTCCCCAACCCGGAGCCTTCGGGTCAAGGTGGGTGCTGCTCCATCACCTCCAGTCCTTTGTGTGTGGTGATCTTGGCTGGCCCCCATGCCTAAACATCCGCTGGTTGCCATGTGTGGGTTCTGGGTGGCTGTTCTGGGTCAGCTCTCCCGGGCACCATTTCCCCGGCATAAAACAGCCACGTGGGGGGAAAGGCCTGCCTGCCATCCTGCAGCATCGCTGATGCCCACGTGTCCCCTTTCTCTCTCAAACCAGGGCACGTCCGTCTGCCAGGCTCTCCTCGTGGGCTCCGTCGTCATCCTCTTGTACTCTTCAAGGGCCTTCTACAACTTGGTGGCGGTGGCGATCTCTCCGGACCGTGTGCCCAGCCCGTTCAACTACGGCTGGGATAACCTTTCGGATCAGGTAACGTGGGCCTCTGGAAATGGGATTTTCGGTTTCCCTGCAGATGCGGAAGGGGCTGCGGCTGGTCGGCAGCCCTGGCCATCCCTCACAAGGGAAGAAATTGGTGTGGGGGGAGGTGAGGAGAGGCCTTGGGGGTCCTACCTGCCCTGGTAGCTGTTCTGGCGTGACCTACCTTTTCCTGGGTGGAGAAGAGGGCTGTGATGGCCATATACCATGGAAAGCAGCCCTTATTTAAAACTTTTATATATCGTTCCATCACTGATGTCTTGCGAAGGTTTACAGCAACACCAATAAAATAAGAGAAAGAGATAAAAGTAGTACAGCATCCAATAATAAGTATAAAAACCACAATTAAGACAATTAAACTAGTGGGAAAGTAAAAAAAGAGTTTCACCTGACACTGAAAGGAAAAAAGCTTTGGCTCCTGCATTCCAACAGGTAGGGCCAAAACAACCCCCTGTTTCAGCTTCAGGATTTCCTTAAGCCTTAGGAAAGGAATTCCCACCTTTAAGAAGGGGGCAAAGCTGCACCAAAGCTGGGAAGCCGTCCAGCGAGGAGGGGCTGTGTTTGGAGGGTAGACTAAAAGAGACACGGCCAGGGAAAGGGTTGTGACCCGGAGAAGCCAAGTGGGCTGGATCAGTCCTCCAGGGGGGCCTGGTCTGATAAAATAAGCAAATAATATTAACAATTAAAATGACATTTAAATAAAAAGGTCTTTGCCTGGCGCCGAAAAACAAATAACGGCGGCGCCAGGCGGACCTCTCTGGGGAGCGCATTCCATAGATTTCCTGCATGCAGAGTCATCCTGCCTCTCTTCTTGGTCTTAACGTACCGTTGGTGTTAGCTCGAGGCATCAGCGGCCTGCGGCACACACTAGAAAGGCAAGGTAGACGCCACCTTCTGAAAGAAAGGGGGCTCCCAAGGTGGAAGGCCAGCTGCCTTTCCAGGTGGAGCTTTAAGCAGTCTTCAAGGGCGCCCCCGACCAGAGCAGTCCATCTTTTCACCTTCTTTCCCACTCGCTTGATCCCTGGACCAGAACGCTCACCTTCTCCCTGCAGGTCCGAGGGGAGGAAGTCGGCAGCGAAGAGTTCGTGGTCTTCGGCGTGGTGCTGTTTCTCTGGGAGTTCGTTCCAACCACGTTTATGCTGCTCTTCTTCCGGGCACAGAGGCTGACGCAAAACTTGGTATGGGTTGATTTGCATCAGTGGCTGCTTTTCTGTTTAAGAACAAGCCAAATGGCTGGGGAAGAAAAATTCACAGAGAATTAAAATGCAAGAGACTGTCTTTAGAGGAAGGCTTAGCCTTAAAAATTATCGTGTTATGCCATGTCTGTTGCATGTCTGAATACGTTTTGTCCCCTGTGAAAACTGAACAAGGCACTGCCTCATCCTCTCATGGTGGGTAGAAACGAGAACTCTGGATGGTTGGGACCACAACTCCCAAATGCTCGGGAATACTGGGAGTTGAAGTCCAAAACATTTGGAGACGAGCTTTGCAGCCATCCCTGGACTCCGCCCTCCTCCTGGCACTGTGGAATTGATTTACCTCTGCATTGGTATCTTAATACACAGTGGGAAGATGACGTGGGTTTAAGGAAAGAGCGGCTGAGGGCTGCATGCAGAGTTCCGGGAGGGAGCGAGAAAGGGAGATGTTACCCCTTCATGTAAACTGAGATACTGCCTTGTGAAATAGGCAAACCTCTGGCGCTGGGCCGTCTCGACGCGTGGGCCCGATGGGCACCTGCCCGTGGGCCCCATACTCATCTGTGTGTGTTAACCCTTGGAAAATTGGAAAACTTCCAAAATTAGCAGTAGTTGTGCTTGTCGTAGGGGCCCCAGTACACCGCTTTGCGCGGGGCCCATCAGGCTGTTCAGACGGCCCTGCTCTGGCGCAGGGAACATTTCTCCCCACAGAAGCTCTCTGCACCTGGCAGAATCTGGTTTTCCCTTGTTTTTCTGCATCTGCCCCCAACCTGCCCCGGTGGCCAGAATTCCATGGTCTCTGGCTGGAGGCAGAGAGGTTGCTTCCACCCAGTGCTCAAAACCGGCGCGCACAGGGCTAAAGCAAAGCACACTCCTTTTCTCCCTCACCCTCCGCCGCTTCAGCATCTGGGGCAGCCTCAGGCTCTTCCGGCTCACCAGAGGCCGGCTCCCCACTCGCCAAGGCGGGCGAGAAAGCTGATCTAGTCTGCCCCTGCTAGTGACCGCAGACACGGTACCAGACGAGGGGGCTGATTTGCGTCCGTCCCAAGCAGAGAGGGTCTAAATATATTTATATTTTAACAACTTCTATGCCGCCCCATCGCATGAGCCTCGGGGCGGCTTACAAATACTCGTGAAATTCTTCGGAATGGGTGCCTGTCTCCTTGGCCCATGCTAGTGCTGGAATTGCACGGAGGAGATGAGTGCCATTGAGAGACTCCCCGGTGCAAATTCTTCACTGCCTGCAGCCCGTGGTGATGCGGAACCCCCCCCCCCCCCCGTGCCATTCACATTGGCAACCCAGTGGAGAAAAAGTGCCCCTCCAACAGAAGCCAAGCCGTAATTTGAAGAGGTTTCCTTCCTGGACTGGGTAGGGGACGGTAGATTCCTTGTTTGCTGTTTCAGGCATTACAGAAAACCACAGTGGGTGGAAAATGGAGAGGGAAGCGGGGGAGGAGGAGGAGGAGGAGGAAGACCGGGAGGGGGGAGCCACGGTCTGCCTTGAAGCCATGCGCTGGAGCCACTGCAGAGGAGAAGAGGGCCCAGCGGAAGACTTGCGGGCTCCCCTTTAGCTGGTCTGGTCTGGTGCGTGATCTGGGCCTCTTAGGCCTGTGCGTTGTTGCCCATGCGCACTCAGCCTGGCCGAATCCTGCCAGGAGCGCCGCATCTCCCCCGTAAAGGCTCCTCCCAGGCCTGACTCCCCCTGAACTCGCCGCTCTGTGCGCTGAACGACTCCTCTGTCGCCTTGACAGGCGCCCGCGGGGATGATCAACAGCCACAGTTACAGCTCCCGGGCCTACTTCTTCGACAACCCCCGGCGGTACGACAGCGACGACGACCTCCCGCGGCTCAGCGGAGGAAGGTAGGGGGCATCGTCCAGGGGCCGGCCGGGCTGGCTGGCTGCGGGTCCCGCATCGCCTTTTCTCAGAGTCTCAGCTTCCGGCCACCGTACCTGCTCCGTGCAAAGGACGTACTCCCGGAGTGTAAATATCCTCAGCCCGGGACTGGCTCTGCCCACCAGCCCTGAATGAAGCTGCAGCCCCTCCGCTGGCAGTTCCTCCAGGTCGAACACTGCCCCGAGTCTTCACTGCAGAGCCAGAGCTGAATACTTTGCTCTTAAACTCTTGTCCAGCCGTGGCCAGTCCTCCAGGACTGGGAGCAGCAGCTCTGTTTGCTGTTTGCTGCCCACGCCTGAGCTGGGGTCGCACTGGGGTCAGAAGCATTGCAGGCATAGAAACATGGCGAGTCAGAAGGGGCCTCCCGGGGCATCTAGTCTGACCCTTGGCTGCAGCTGGCTCTGCTCATGGAGTACCCATCCGTGTGACCTGTGTGTTTCCATGTTGCTTCGGAACGCTTGATGCACTTCGGCTTCTCTCCAGAATCCGGACGATCCCCCTCAAAGACAGGCCCCCGTCCTCAGCGTGCCTGGGGCGGCCGTTGCGGCCAGCCGTGCTTTCTTCCCCTGGGAGTGAATTCTCGGCCCAGAGACTCCGTGACGACTGCGGTGCACCAAGCCCCGCTTTGGACCTTCCCGCCCCCCTCCCACTGGCATCCCTGTGATTTTCTCTGCTTGGCCTGCAGAAAAGGGCTTCACTGGATCAGCCCGCCGGTTGCGGCATCCAGTTTCCCCATTTGGCCACCCAGGCCAGGCGCTTATGGGAAGCCCGCGGACTGGGCCTCAAGCCCATAGTCCTGCCCAAACCTGGTCTCGAATCCCAACTGGGGCTCGGCTCGCGATGCTGCCCGACTCGTCCCCGATCCACAGGGTGTCCGCGTGGTTCCCATCGCTTGGGGGCATTTGCCCGTGGGAGTAGGATAGCCCCTTCTCCCCCCGCCAGCGGGAGTGGCTGAGCAAGCAAGCAACTCCCCACCCGTGGTTGGTTGGCACGATGTCTGAACAGGGATCCTTGGGCTGCTGCGCTCCCAGCAGGGTGCTTGTAAGCCAAGAGCAAAAGACTCCATTGTGCCGGAAGAGGGTTACCATGGTGTTGGGGAGATACGTGTGCTTTTCTACATTTGGGGGGAATTGCTCCCCCGTAGAAATGCATGCTTCTTCGGGTTGGGCGGTGGGGGAGATGCATTTGGGAATCGCCCCCAAGGCAAATTGCGTGTTGAGGAAGAATTGGGAGCACGCGGCCTTCCCCAGCTGTTTGGGAGACGATCCATCTGGCAACCGGCGTGGAGGCCTGGCTGGCCCAGAGTGGCCTGCAGTTGCCCAGGAGCAGCGGCCGATTTCGGAGCCTCCCGGGGGCATCGCAGCAGCCGCACTGGGGAACGGGGCTTCTCCTCGGTGTTCTGTCTTATGTAGCCGGGCTGTTGCACTCGTTCTGCTTAGACTAGCGGATCATTAGGATGCGTCGGGCGCCTTCCCTGACATTCACACCCCTGGACAAAATGCACGCGGTTTTGCCTGCCGGCTGTGCGTTCTTTTGACTGTGGAATGCCTTGCGTATCTCACCTTTCATCCTCTTGCAAGGATCCTGAGGGGACTCTCTCAGTCCTCCTCTGCTCCTCTCTATCCTCACAACAACAATCCTGTGTGGTAGGCCTCACAAAGTCAGGGACCGGCCCAAGGAATCCCAGTGAGTTTTCTAGTGGGGACTAGAACTGGTCTGAGCACCATGCAAAACCTAGTGGTAGATACTGCACAGTAAATACTGTAGTCAGAGTGCACTTGGGGGGGGGGGCATTTTTCCCCTCCAGAAAAGCAGCATAGGGCACCCCCAACCCCCAGCCAAGCTGCACAGAAATACTGGAAGCCGGTCAAACGGTTTGCCCTCTGAGTCAGAAAATGTGACAGCGGGCTCACCACTTTACCTGGCAGTAGAAATGGAATCCTGATTGTGACATTCCCTTGATAACCCCTTTTTCCCTTCTTGGAAGCCTTACAAGGTTCTCCTCTCCATTTTATCCTCACAACAGCCCTGTGAGGTAGGGCAGGCTGAGAGGCAGTGACTGGCCCATGGTCACCCAGTGGGTTTCATGGCTGAGTGAGGACTGGGATCTGGTTCTCCTGAGCCCCAGTGCAGCGCTCTAACCACTGCACCAGACTGCCTTTCATGGAGTTGTCCACAGGTAGCATCCTGCAGTTGCTTGCTTGCACCCTGCAGTGCCTTGGCAGGATGCAAGCAAATGCCGCTCCGCACCAGAAGTGCTCCACCACACCAGTCCAGCGCGAGCATCCCACACCTGAAGGCAGGTGTGAGCCCAGGCAGGCGTGCCAGTTAGCTGTCCGCTTTCCCTGGGCGAGCAGCGCCCTTTGGCAGCCCCTGCGGGCATCGCGCGGCCTCCACGAACCCCCGCTCTCCCTTCACAGCTTGTCTACTCCGCCGAACGCCGGGTGGTACGGCTCTCTGACGGGCAGCGAGAGCTGCAGCGCCGCCCCCGCCCTGGCCGTGCCGCCGAGAGATGTCCCCCCGCTGCTCTTCTCTCACGGGAGCCTGGAGTCGCGAAGCCAGCCCAACGGACACCTGTCGGCACAGAACTGACCGCGGCGGCGCTCCCGCGGACGACTCCACGGCGCGGGAGGGCGGACAGGCCTCCGGCGGCCGCAGCGGCCCCCACCGGGCCGGGGCCGGCGGGAGAGGCTCCGCGGAGCCCGGCCGTTGCCGCGCTGGAAGCCGCGCGGGCCGAGGCTGAGGAGGGCCAGGCACCGTCCGGACGGTCTTCTCCTGGCCGGTGGGCGAGCGTCCGGAGGAGGCTGGCCAGTGGCCGAGGAAGGTGCCGGCGTGTCAGCGAGAGGCCTCGACGGCTGGACGGATGGGCATTTGCACTTTTAAAGGAGCATTTCCAAGGATCGGTTATTTTTCTCCCTGTCGTTTTTCTCCCAACAGCATGAGACAACTGTTCCGGATAACACTTTGAGTTGTACATCCATAGCTGGGAACGCCGTGGTCTTCCTGGGATGACTGGAGGATCCCTACCTATTTAATGGCAGAAACGGTTTGAGGGGGATGTGGGAGGGCCTTTCCCTTTCCTTGGAGCTGGGATGGGGAACGTGTGGCCCTGCAGGTTATCTGGCTGGGGCTGATGGGTGTTGCAGTCCATCCAGGAGGCTGCCCACGTTCCCTCGTTCCAGAGTTTCTGCTTTTTAAATGGAGGATCGTAACAAAGAGTGTTAAAAACTCTGGGATTGTTGTCATGTTCTCACAAGGGTAACTTAACTTACAGTTATGTTTTACTATCTCTGTTCTGGGACTAGCAAAACAAACCTCAACATTGCATGTTTGTGAAAACTCTTTGTGATAGTTATGTTGGCTGTTACTGGTATCAAGACTTTCATTTAAGGAAAAAAAACTTGGTTCACACTGGGGAAAGCAGAACTGGAAATCTGTAGTATTTTGTCGAGGGGTGGATCCATGAGGACTAGGAGCATGTTTGCCTTGGGGGCTGTGCAGCCAGCTTTGTTGCTTTAGCTGCCCCCCTGCTTGCTTGCTTGCTTGCTTGCTTGCTTGCTTGCTTGCTTGCTTGCTTCCAGGGTGGACAAGACCACCATGCAGAAACTCCTGGATTGCTTAAGCGCTGGTCTCTGTAGTACAGGAAAAGTGCTTGGAAGGTGAAGCGGAGTGAAGTCATCTTTCCCCTCTGCTCTGCTGAGATGGTGCGGTCACAGGGTAAGGGACTGGCTAGGAGAAAGCAGCTTTCCAGTGGACTGAGGGGCTCGGCCTTCGCTCCATCTCCCCTTTCCATAATGCCTGCTGGACCAGCCTTCCCCATCTGATACCCTCAAGTGCGTTGGACTACAGTTCCCATCCTCCCTAGCCACTTGCAGTGCAGCACCGCTGGAAGGCATCAGAAGGGGAAAGCTGATCTTGGGAAGACACCAAGATGTGATGCACCTGGACCTGGGGGCAAACGTTCTTCCTGGATAAGCAGGCTGGACTTCCCTGGAATGGCCTGCGCTGAAGCGCCCCCCCCCCCCCCCCCCCCCCCGAACGGGGGCCCCTCCTTGCCGGCGGGGGGGGGGGGGTGAATGGGGGGCATCCTGGAGCCTCGAACCAAAGGGGGAATTGCACTGAAAAGCCGTGCGGGTCCCAGCTGGAGAAGCGCCCGGTGTTTTCCCAAGACCTCAGCGGTCCCGGGAGAGAATCCGGCTTGCACTGCCCTTCTCCGCGGAAGGCACTATCCGCGCCCCAGCTGGGCAGGTGCAGAACGCCATTCGGCTGCCAAACAGTCGGGACGCAAAAACGAAAGCTGCCTGCTGCTGCTCCGGGGGTGTGAAATGGCCACCTTCGTGTTCATTCGGGGGGGGGGCGGTTGCGGGCATCCAGGGGGAGTGCCCAAATTGATGGGCGGGCAGGCAGGGCCCGGATCCGGCTTCCGGACGAGTGCCGATTTTGAAATGGTGCCGGCAGACAGAATGTTTCTGCAGGAGTGGTTGAAGTTTTGCTCCTGAAGTGTCGCCTGCTCTGGAACACGTGTCGCAGCTCAGCTTCTTGGGCAAAGAGCAGTTGCGTTGCACTGAGGCCTTCTGGACCATGAGAACTTTAGCTCCCATTCTGGTCTCCCACTCAGTTTTTAAAATTATATTGATATCCCACGTTTTCCTTCCAAGCATCTCAAGGCAGCTCACATAATCCTCCCCCTCCTCCTCCTAATCTCATCCTCACAACAACCCTGCGAGGTAGGTTGGGCTGAGAGTCTGAGGCTGGCCGAACTTCACCCGGTGTGCTCCACGGCCGAGGGAGGACCGGAAGCCAGATCACAGACATTCTGGCTCTGTCCGCTTAGCCACTCAAGGGAGGCTGATCCATGGGTAGAGGCGGCATCTGCAGCACCCCCCTTCCCCCTCCCCATTCCTGCTCTTTTGCTGGCATGCAGGAGTTGCAGAAACTCCTCACAGATACTTGAGTACAGCTTTCACGGGAGCGGCTACCCCAGAGTCCTCGACCTGGGCTCCCATCAGCCTCACAGCGATCGTTTTCACCCCCTCTGCGGATTTTTGTGACCCATCGAGTTCTTTAAAGGCTTGGCCAAGAGGTGCTCGACCACCGCCTGCTGCGGTGAATCTGTGCTCTCCTCGCTGGCGAAGCGTGTGGTCCTGGTAGCGGGTCTAGTACAGCAACGTTTCTCATTTGTGCGGCTTGGCCTTCCTCCACCTGGAGGGTGCCGGAGCGGGGAAAGCGGGCGAGTGCTTCGCTTCCCGGACGCCCAGCTGCTGCACTGCCTGCCTGCCTTGCCCTTTGAGCGCCCACGGCCGGACCGGGCCGTCCAGGGAGGGCAACGAGCTGCAGGGACGCGATGGGTGTTGCGTTACCCCCAACTTTGATCCCTTGCCCTGTGCAACCACGGACAAGCACACACTCCGGATGGCGTTCCAGAGGGGCTTTTTGTGGGGCAGGGGGACGTGCAAAACTGAGCAGTGTGGGTGCATGAAAATCACCGGTCCCGATGTCGAGCACCATTTGAGCATTTTAGCAGGGTGGCTGGAGTTGTAGCATTGTCCCCCCAACAGAATGAGTCCCTTGTCTGCGTTGGCACCTTTTGCTCTAGCAAAACCAGCCAAGGCCTGACGCTGCGCGGCCCCGGAGCCCAGAGCTGGGCTGAGGCTTCACTGCTGCCCCCACGCCGAAGCGCGCTTTTCCACTTCTGCACTGCACTCGCAGCACTTTACGCAGGTTTTCAGAGATGGGAGAGGGTGCTCCATGAAGGGCTACAGCGCCTGGTCTGAGCTTTGCATCGAGCTGCACTGACTCAAGTTCTCTGCCCCTCCAAGAGGGCCATCGCCAACTGGGACAGCCGGGCGAGCCGCTTAAAGCGTGTGCCCAAGCAGCGACCGGTCTCTCTTCCTATTCCTGGGGACGGCTGCTTCAGTTCTGGAATCCAACTGGGAAGAGCCAGTGCGGCTTTACCGGAAACCATTTCTGTCCAAATAGCAAAACGGCCTTTGTCCAGGATGGTGTGGGAGCATTGTCTTTTGGGGAGGGGGTTAGTTCTGGTTGCTGCAGCTCACCAGCCAAAGGAGGTCTGCCACTCATGAATGTACCACTTCAGTTTCTCCCCCCAAACTGTAATGCTGTTATGTTTTGAAATAAAGAGTCTTGTTTTTATCTTGTGCGAGCTGCGTTTGCAAAGAGTCGTGTGTGTGGAGTCCTTCCTCCATCGAGTGGTTTGCTGTGGGCCAACCCTGAAGACGATTGCAAAAGCTGCACCTTCTGCCCTTGCCGGGAGAACGGGGGCTTGCGAAGGCAGAAGTGCTGAGGGACTCGGCGCTCAGGACACGATCCCCCGCACGCCAAGAGTCCCTTCGGCAGCCACCCCGGTTGCACAAACGGGAGACAAAGCAGTAAGCGTGGAGCTCAGTTCTGTATTCACGTATTTTATAGAAAAACCCACCCATACAATGTTTGCATCCAGAGTTTTCTCCCTGCACAGGACACAACATATATCAGCAGAATTGCACGGACCTCCTCCTCTTTCTGGTGGAAAACTGACACATCTGGGAAACGGATTGTGCAAGGGGCCTGCAGGTCATGTGCACAGGGGTGGGGGCGGGGGGGGGGGTCCAGCTCTACATTTGGGCTCTTCCCTGAGTACAGCCTGTTTTGGACGGAGGAAACTGGCCAGAGGCAATTTTCTTTCCTAAGTCTTTTGGCTAAAGCAGCAGCAGGCCATCACTTAGTTCCTAGCACCACGGGGATGATGGGTGTTGCAGTCTGGCACTCCCAAATGACCAGGCTGGGAAAGGCTGATCCATAGGAAGAGACTACCTCTCAGCTTATCCCCGGCAGCTCCATACAGTCCTACCTTTCTGTTCCACTGGCGGTTTAGGCAGCCCGGCTTCGAACCGAGGACAAGCATGGCAAACCAGCATCCCTGACCCATCGGTTTTGGGCCAGGTGGGCTGATGAAGTCACAGTACTGTGCAGGATGCTGGAGATGGATACCTGATTGGGGGGGGGGGGCACAGCTTGGCCACAGGGGCTTTTCTGCTTTCCTGCAGCAAAGAGAAAAGACCCCACCATGGACTCCCCTAGCAGGGTTGCTCTGTTGCTAGACTGGGGGGACCTGCTCAGCTGCAGCTCGAGGGAGGGGCATGTGCAACCAGCAAACCCTCCAGAGCGCAGCACACGGAATCAAGACCCTTCGGATGGTTTTGCATGGAAAGCAGCTTTCCTCACTTAGCTTGCGTTGCGGGGCCCTTAAATGAAGTAAAGGCAAAGGATCGCAGGGCCGGACAAAGCCATTCAAGGGCTGCCGGGGCAGGACGGGATTCGGCGACACGGGGGCGCCAAAGCGCTTTCAGCCTGCGGGTGGGCGGACGGCCATTTGGAAAAGTTCCTGAAGACTGTTCTAGCGCACATCACAAGGAGCCTGCGATGTGGGGCAAATTTGGAACCAGGGGCCCAGCATTCTGCATCTCTAGGACAGCCTTCCCAAGCATGGGGCCCTCTAAGTTTGCTGGGCTACAAGTCACATCATCCCCAGGCCGCTAACTGGGGGAGGTGGCTCTCCGGAGATGCGTTGCCTGAGCTCAGGCAGCATAACCCTCACCCAAGCGCTGCGTGTGGCTCGTCCCTGAAACGTGTGTTACCGTGTTGCGTGAACTCGGCTGCGCACACCGAGAAGAGAGAGAACGTTGTGCGAACCCAGCCACTGGAGTGCAAGGAGGTGGTGCGCTGATGCCAAGGCCTAATACAATTATCCTGTTTGCAGCACCAAACCACAGGCGAGCAAGGGCAGGTGCTGCAAACGGGGGCCTGCCCCGCCGCCCGGGAAGCTTCAGTTGTGCGCAAACGTTTCAGCTGCACAGAGAGCCCAGGGGAAGCTGGCATGCTCGGAAGTGTGATCCAGCGCGATTCGCAGCTGGCGCGAACACCAGCAGGGCCCGCTCGGAGTCCTGCCCACGCAGAACAAGGAGTGCCGGTCTTTATCAGAAGAATTTCACTGGAGAGGTCGCAAGAGGCTCCGGAAGTGCTCCAGTTCCTTAACACTCGTTGAAATCCTACAATGGAAAAAGAGAAACGAAATGGGGAGGAGAGAGAGAATTAGAAATGTTGTTGCTGTACTTGGGAACATAGAAACATAGAAAACAGAGCGAGTCAGAAGGGGCCTCCCAGGCCATCTAGTCTGACCTCCGGCACCAGCCGGCTCCGCTCACGACATGCCCACCATGTGGACATCCAGCCTGTCCTTGGACACCCTCATTGATGGGGCCTCAACGACCTCTCGTGGAAGCCCATTCCACACCCTCGGGGTCCTGAGTGTCAGGAAGGGCTTCCTGGCATCCAAATGGAACCTGGGTTCCCTGAGCTTTGCTCCGTTGCAGCGCGTCCTGCCTTCCTCTGCAGGGGAGAACAGGTCCCTGCCCACCTCCGTGTGACACCCCCTCACATACCTGCATGTCGCCAACAGATCCCCTCTGAGTCTCCTCCAGGCTGAAGAGACCCAGTTCCCTCAGTCTCGCCTCATACGGCATCCCCTGCAAACCGGCCATCAGCCTTGTGGCCCTTCGCTACACTGACTCGAACCTGGCTATATCCTTCCTATATCCACAATACTCCAGTTGCGGGCGCACCAGAGTCGCGTAGAGTGGCAGTAACACCTCTCTCGATCTAGAAGCCACACTTCTGGCTATGCAACCAAGGGTGGCGTTCGCCCTCTTGACCACCGCATCACACGGCTGGCTCATGTTCAGCCTGCAGTCGACCAGCACCCCGAGGTCCCTTTCACAAGTGCTGCTCTCCAGCCACTGGTCCCCTAGCCTGTACTTATGACGCCCATTCCTATGCCCCAAGTGCAAGACCTTGCACTTATCCACATTGAACGCCATCCTGTTGTCTCCTGCCCACTTCCACAGTCTGTCCAGATCCTTTTGGATCCGGAGTACCTGCTCCTCAGTTGTGGCCACTGCTCCAGTTTTAGTGTCATCTGCAAATTTGACCAGCAGACTGTTCACCCCTTCTTCCATGTCGCTGATGAAAAGATTGAACAGGATCGGCCCCAGGACAGTTCCCGGTGGGACCCCGCTTAAGAAAGGTAAAGGCAGTGCTGTGCATACGCTGAGATTCAGGGGAGACACCCTCTCCGCTTGCATTTGGGGGCAAGTTTCTAGTCCTTATGGCTGAAAGATTCACTGGAAAGCTGAAATAGTAAAAGCCAGGGAGCAGCAGGCAGAAATGGTCTGGAATCTGCCATTTGCAGCCTGTATGCGTAACTAGAAATACTGGAATGAACTAGTCAAATTTAAATGTTGTATCAAGACAACAGGTACCGAATGTTATACGTCTTGGTGCAGACACTGCAGCACAATATTTGATTTGTACACACAGAGCTGGACAAACACAATTTGAGCTGACAGGTGGAACCAGCTTACATGACAGGGTATCTGGTACGAAATATTTCTTCTAAAAGCAGCCTAGCTAAGCAGAACACTCGGGCATCCCTTGAGATTCCACGGAGGGGCTCCCCACCCGCCTCGGGCTGCCAGATGTATCCAGCTTCCCCAGCTTCTGAGCGTGTTGTGGTTTCCTGGCTTTGCACAAGTTTTCCTCCTCAGGTCCAAATGCCTCTCCAAAGGGCCGACTTCCCACTGAAGGCAATTTAGTACATTACCGATTCTGCTTACGGCGGTAGGTAAAGGGATGGTCATAGCCGGATGGAATAAAGGATTCACCTGCCTGGCTTCCATAGTCTGCCTTCATTTGGCCTTCCAGGGGCTTCCTTTTTGCTCCCTTGTGGATGAGGGTTAGCAATCCTTTTTCTGTGCAAAAGCTGGGAAACCGCCAAACAACTGGTGGTAGGGGGAAGGGGCAGGTGGTCCTCTCTGGGACCCCAGGAGAGCCAAATTTAACCCCCAGGCCTGGGATTCCAGACCCCTCTCACTGAGAGATGCTCACCAACCAGCTAGGTCTAAGATTTAGCCGCAAACAGAGTCTCAGAAAAGACAACGTGAAGTTAGATGGGTCAATGGACAGATTCGGTGTAAGACTGGACAGATACTGTTTTCTGAGTCACGAGTACAAACCACAGATCTCTCTCCCTCACCTCCAGAAGGGGAACAGGAATGTGGACTGAGAGGACAGGAAATGAAAGCAAACAAACTGCTCTGAATCCATGGATTGCTTGTTTGGAAACCGCAAACTATGGTCTGCCTACTAAACGACGGTTAGGGAAAACAATAGTATCTGAACTAGGTTCGGACATGTGAACCCATGCTCATGGGTTGAGTCCTGGTTGATCGTAGGTTGTTACCTCGATTTCTTTTCTCGGCTGGTTCAGACAGCACGAGAACCCATGATTCAACAACAGGCTACGGGTCAGTGACCATGCACGGCCTCCGAGTGTGGGTTATCATATTGTCTGAACCGAGTCCCAGCAGGAGCAGCAAAAAGGTTACTGGATGATAGACAACACAGAATCGAGTGTTTCCAAGAGGAAACCTCGTGCTCACCTTCCAAACGCGTTGAAGAGGGACACGATTTCCTGTCTGGTTAGATGGAACTTGTGCGACGGGCCTCTTTCAGGCATATTGTCTATCAGTCTTTCAGAAAACAGGATTTTCAGAGCCGTTCCCAAACCCTGGGTCTGTATGGAAGGGAATGAGCATGAAGTCAATCTGCAACATGGGACAGACTGCAAAGATCTCCAGAGCAGCTGCACCCAGCCAACCAAAAAGCATCCCACTCAGACGACTGAACCGGTTAAAGCTGCATAAATTTGCATGCGACTAAAATAGTCCTGAAGTTTGTAACTTATGCACGATGGCCCGTACTTTAGAAGAGGCTTTCTCAGCAATGTGAGAGATAAGTGTTAGGATCCCAGCCTGTCAAACTTCTTGATAGCACTTGTGTTAAAAATAGTTGATTTTTTTAAAACCCATGCAGTTTGCTGCATAAATAGGGTATTGTACAATGGACCTTAGAATACGGGGATAGAAGAGTAGGTGCGGAGTTGCGGGGGGGCTAAAAATGCACGCACACGCACAGCTGTGATGAACCAGGTCCAAACCACTTGGATTTGCTGGGACAGAATGAATTACCAGCTTGTGTTTCCTCATCTGTCTCCTATATACCTTGGTTCAATGCCTCCTCATTGGTTAAACCACAGTTTCTTGTGACCTTGGAACCAGGAAACTGTGGTTTGAGCACTCCTTAGCCTGGCCAAGCTGCCACCCCATCAAACTGCCGATTATCAAACGCAGCATTAACGTTCCGAGCAGGTTCTCTCTCCATATTACTCATGCTAAGACTGAGGGTTTCCAAACCAATGGAAGTACAGATAAAGCAACCAAAGATCTCTGGGGAGAGGGAAGAGGAGGAAAATTGAGGGCACGCAAGGTACTTACTTGCAGCTTCCCCCAAAGGCGACATTTAAAGCATTCTACGCAGTCCATGATCCTTGAAATGTTCCTAAAATGATGCCTGAATTCTCCCTGAGGTTGGGGACAGAACAAGAAAGAAGACGCACAGCTTGACAGCCTTCCGTTGCTTGTTCGTTTGTCTAATTACTAAAAAGAGTGCAGCACCTGCGGGGCCAGGCAGTTCAAATAAACGTGCGGAAATTCAGCGCTCCACCAGGGCCTCCTGCTCTCCCGAACTCCTCGGATTTCCCGAGCTCCAGCGCCGAGGCCCTGAGAGCAGGAGCCACCGATGGGAGATTCCTGGATTCTGTAGGACTCGTGGGGCTTGACCCGTCTGACTCCTGGGCCTCTGCCCAAGCTCTCCTCTGGACTCCTTTGCAAGCACCTTGCCCGATCTCCCGCAGGGCCTGTCTGCGTTTCAATCCCCGCCAAAGCGACGGCCGCGCTTTGCTTCCCGGAGCTGCCCTGGGAACGAGGCAGCTTTGCTCCCTCTGCTTTGGGAATGTTTTGTCATCTCTGCCTCGGCCCAGGCGATTTGACAGGGAAATGCCAGAGCCACAAGGTGATGTGCTGAACGCAGGCTCTGCGATACCTGTGGGGTTTTTAAGAACTGTCAGAAGGTGGCTTGGGATTGAACAGTTACCTTTAATTTGGCAGCTTCCCTCGGATTTCCGGCAAAAAAGGAGTTCTCGTCGATGTGCAAAGGGAAAGATCTGCAGCAGAAGAGAAGCATCAGTTATCATGGAAGTCTCTCCCTGGAATGCGGACGACACCAATTAACCAGGGTGGGCTGGGGGAGATCACCGTTAGCAGAACTACTGTCTCTGCTTCCAGGAGGAGGCCGGAGAAGGCTCTGGTTTATAGCCATTTTAAAGCTTCTAATGGGGTCTCAAGGCCTTCCCTATGGCAAAACCTTCCTTGTGGCTCTCATCGGAGATGCAGTGTGGTGGAGTGGTCAGAGCACTGGACCGGGACTCGCGAGATCTGGGTTCGAGGCCCTACTTGGCCATGAAACTCACTTGGGGGGCAGACCTGTGTGTGTTAACACAGAAGGAAGTCCTACAGCTTCCAGCATGTCCTGGGCAACTTTAGGCCAGTCACTGACTCTCAACTGAAGGTACCTCTCAGTTAAAGAGAAAATGGTTGTAAAGATAAAATGGAGAAGAAAATCATGTAAGTCCCCTTGAATTACTTGCAAGAGGGAAAGGGCAGGATGTTAAATGTTGCGCAATAATGAATGACATGAATGTAATCAATCAATCAATCAATCAATAACAATGATCCAAAGCAGGACTAGGACATCTGTCCTTAGGTCCTGATCCTGCTAAAGTTGCAACGACAGGCCAAAGTAGATGCTCAACTTTAACTGGAGCAGAGTTCACATATTTGAAGAGCTCGATTCTGCTTTAAATTGTCCCAGCGTTCCTCGGGGCATCCGCAGGGAAGTCATTCCAGGCGGGTGCCGCGGATTCCGTTCCCCACGGTATCCCTTCAGTTGCTGGCCACTGTTTGGCAATGAAAGCCAGCCCTGTCCGCATGCGGGATTTACAGAACTCCTTCGGAACGCTTCTGGTTTGGTCCCGGAATGATTCCATGTTTGATGAATGCATCTTTGTACATTTTATCAAACAGGTGGGCTGCATACTTTATCCAGGGTGGTCTGGTCCCCACAGAAAACACAGCACCCTCTGCCCCCTGTGCATTTTGTGTGTGTACCGATGTGTATTTCTCTGCACGCTGGGGAGAAAATGCTGAACAAAGACTGGCTGGATTTTTGGACGGTATATATTGCTCAAATTAAGCAAATAGTTACTTTGCCCTGAGCAGAGCAATGTTCTCTCTACACCGCAGAAGCGCCTCCCCAAGATCTTGCTGGAATGACATTTACTTGGCTAAATGCAGAATTTCCAAGAGCAGCCGCTTGGTTTCGTCGTCTTGGCTCTTGTTTCCGGTGAACAACTGGAAATCGGGGCGCTCGAAGAAGGGCAGGACTTTGGACAGGGCCCGCAGCTCAATGAGGTAGATAAAATACAGGTTCTTGAGTCTCCTGGGACCTTCACCCTGAGTCAGGACCTCATCAAAGCGCTGCTGGAACTCGGTAATATTGGGGCCCCACTGCTTCTCTGCCCAGGTGTCTGGAAAAAGGGGGGAAAGGGAAAGCGCATCCAGGTGAAGAACGGAATCATTGCCTCTATGGGCACACAGCCACCATCCACTCAAATCCTCATGCAGTTTTCCCAAAACTGGGATGCTCCAAATACATCCAACTACAACATCCAGCATCCCCAGCTGACAAAGCCGGCTGGGTAGACTAACATGCGGAGGGCCCCAGTGGCCGGAGGCTGTTCTAGTCCTCCCCACCCCTGTGCAAATCAGTGGGGTGGGGGAGTCCCACTCTCCCCTGTCTTTCAGCCTGGCTGACCAGGACCGGAGAGGATGCTCTGTGCGGGGGCCACGCCGTCCTGCTTCCTTCTTCCACTCCCTTGGGAAAAGCAAGGGGTGCCGTTTGGGGGAATGGCTGTCGCACGTGTGGGAAGAGGAAGGCTTCCATCCGAGAACCCCTGCAGGGACAAAGGGCCGAGCGCTTTCCTTCCCCAGTACGGCCGCTCCAGTCACACTCGAGCCCAGCTGCACGCTCCAGCAGAAAGACCGGGCATTGCGAGATCCGGTCCCAGCCCTCTCCTGCGGCGTGTGGTTTGGCCCAGCCATGCTGTGTCACGCTGGCTCGTCTCAAAATCTCTTGCGAGGCCAGCAACCGTCCGCCGCTTTCCCAATCCACACAGGGAAGCCACGTTCTGGCTGACAGCGAGCCAAAACCACGGCTGCAACCACGGTCCCATGCAGCCGCGTGCTGCCCCTGGCTCTGCCCCGTGCGTCCCCTGCCTTGCGCCCGCAGACCCGGCCAGATCCCTGGTCCTCACGCCCTGCCGCTGGACCCACCTCGCAAAAGGTACCGGGCGCTGAGGTGGATGTTGATGCTTGCGTGCAGGCCGGAGATGAGTCTGTAGAACGCCCGCTTCTCCACGCAGAGGCCTGCAAGAAAGATGCCCAGCGTTCAGAGCGAGGGAGGGGGCAGCGCCTGCAGCCGAGGGCTGAAAGCCGGAGGCACCCGGGGCTCATCCTGCCAAGGCAATAAAAGGCAGCAGCGAGGCTGCTGTCACTCGAGCCGTTGGGAAGGATGCCAGGAGAGAAAAAAGCAGTCACCTTGCAGCCAACTGTAGAACATGTTCCCTGGAAATAAAGAAACAAGGCAAAGATCAGCAGGAAGTCGCCCATTAAAATCCCGTCTGCTGGACCCCATTTCTGCTAAGAAAGCCTGGGGGGGGGATTTTCTGCCCCACACCGCCAACGCTTGCATCATCCAATCTGCTGAGCCCCTTTTGGCTTCTCTAGGGTTCTGCAGGGGGCAACACATCTTCAGCCAGTTCCACCCACTTTCTCCCCATTGCCAACCATCTGGTGGTCTCCCAGCATCCATCTCCAATCTAGAAGTCGGAAAAGCCTCTCCCAAAGCTTAGATTTGGCCCCAGGAGCTTTAAGCTGGCCCAGGAGAGCATAAAGATTCTGGAGAGCCGTCTCCGAGCGCTTCTCCAGAATGGAATGTGCTCCCTCGGCAGAGTGGGGGCCATCAGCCGCGAGAAACCTAGTGGGAGGCATCAGCCGAGAAGGAACAGCTTCCTAGTACAGCTCGGCCATATTCTGACATCTCTCCCTGTGAGGCAGAATACCCCTAACCCTCTAAGGGGCTGTGTTCTCTCCATAGGTTTGCTCCCCCTTGGATGCAGCTGCAAACACTCACCTTCATTTTCTCCAGCTGCTGCCAAAGCGAATTTGAAAGGAAAAGAAAAAAGGAAGAAGTGTCAGCGCTCCAGTTACGTTTGAGGAAGCAGTCATCTAATGCATGCATTTCTAGATGTACCTTCTCACATACATCTAAGCCACCTTTTAAGCTCCATTGTTTATATTTTCCCCTCTACGTTTAGGCTATTTGACTGCTCTCCCAAGACAAGGATTGCCTACGTTCCTCGCTGAAGATATTAAAATTCTGTGCAAAAGCAATTCTAGCTCTGCAGTTCCGAGAACTGGCATACACGATCCAAGTCTTTATCCTCTCCTGAATTCCTGATGCAATGCCTATGATCACAGGAAATGCGGGAGGACCCAGGAGCTCCTTTAGGGACTGAAGCCCCACTCCTGTTCTCCTGGAAATCCTCTTCAGTCACCCCACCATCTCCCACTGCTTATTTCAAGCCTATATTTGTGCCCATAAGGGCCAGGAATTTCCTCTTTTTGGTGGACGTTGAACATCTCAGAAGGCCAAATTTTTCACCCGTTTCTTGCAAAGACGCCGTGTCGATTCTCCCTTCCCTCCCACTCCTCAACTCCACAGTGCCTTGACCGGAATTTTAAAGCCTCTCTTTTTTAAAAAACTAGAGCCTTGTTTCGGGAGAACAGAAGGATGAAGCATGCAGTTTAAACAGAGATATGAAAACATATTCAACTGTACACATTGAATATGTTATCAGTTTTGGTGCCATTTCAGACACAGCAACATCTTAGGCCAACACACAACCTCACAAACCAAGAATGCCAGATCTCTCCGACAGGCAAAGGAAAACTGAGCTTACCTCTGCCAGAAGCTAATGGATTCAACGGTCTTTTTATGGACTGAGGCCTAGGGAGACAAAAACGCTTTTTCCTCAGTAGGAGTCATTGAAAACACCTCTGCCTCACCTTTCTCCCCTTGGGCCTTCCAGGCAGCTTACAAAAAACTAAAACAATTAGAACCCCATAAAGCCTCAACTAGCAACCCGAACTGGCCGCAACCGAGCGTAATACAATTCACACACACAAGACCATTTTCAGCAGACGCACGAAGCGCAGAAGGGATCGTGCAAGTGTGTGGGGCAGTGGGAAGCACTCCACCGTGGGGCTGATGCCCCAGAGAAAGTCACCAGCCTGATCGCCTAAGGAAGCGAACGCCCAGGAATGGGTCTCTGAAAATCAACTGAGGGTGGAATCCTGTGCGGGTTTACACTGAGAAAGCCCTACAATTCCAGCACTGCTCAGTTGGCCCTACTCCCCAGGGTTACTGCGGAATGCTGGGAATTGTACAGCTCTTTCTGTCTAAAAGGGCAGAGGACTGGGGCCTTCATGACTGGCTGGGCAGGCAGGCTTGGATGGAAGAAGGGAGTCTTTCAGGTACCCCGCAAATGCATTCCTTTTTGTTCTTCATAATAGTTTGTTCTTTTCACCCACCTCCTCTGTGGCTCCAACCCAGCCAAAAGTCAGTCCGAATTCCTCTGCCAGAGGAGAGACTTGCCTCGCTGGGCTCTTTTGCCCCCTCTCCAAAGCAGCTTTCCCCCTAAAAGTGCTTTGTACTTCTGCAAACCTCGGAGCCCCCCCAGGTCTGTTGAAACCTCCCCTGTGTACAGGGACGGTGCTGTTTTGGAATGGCACCCATGCCCACCCTCTCAGAAACAGGGAATCAGGGTAATGTTTCAAGTACTAACTAAAGGCGGGTTTTTCTTGATTTTACATCTCCTCCCCTTTTTTCCACTTGACAGCAGCCAAGGCGACCAACAGCAGAGTAAAAATCATTTCAAATCATGGCAAAAATGAGATGGAGGAGCAAGTATTAAAAAACAAAATCATTATGCACAAGCCCTGCCTGCGAAGGGCTCGGAACGTCTGTTGCAAGAATGCAGAACCCCTAACAGGGAGGCCTGAAAGCAGCAAGGGGGTTTCGGCCTGGCACTGCCCCTTCTCCAACCTCCAGCCCCAGGAGGTTGGCAGGCCCTTGGGGGAGGGGGGGAGTTTCCCATTAACAGGGGGTTCCTCTTAGCTAGCAGGCCTATCCACTCCCAACTGCTGCCATGCGCATGTGCTCGGATGAGACACCCAGGCGTGCCCAAGATGGAGGGCTTTGGTGGGGATGGGGGAGTGGGGGGCTGGCCCAGCCGTGGCTCACTCTGATGTTGGAGCTGTGGAGACGAGCGAGGCCCCGGCTGCCCAAACCCTCCAGGTGAGCCGGCCGAGCCAGCGCTGGATCCAAGCATTTCGAGGACAACCACTGAGCCCCCTCCCACTCCTGGTAGTGGGAAAGAGGCAGTGGGGAGCATTCTGGGGAGGGGCTCTGGGGGGGAGAGCTTGACACCCCAGGAGATGTGGATGCGAGGGCCGGTGGATGCACCTGCTGGCTGGACCAATTGGGGGCTCAGTGGGAAGAGCGTTGGTGTGCCCGCTTCCATAGCACCCCCTCCAGAGACCGGCCCCGAAGGTTCGTAAGCAGGGCTTGGGGTGACGGGGGCAGAGCGAGGGGTCACCTTTCCACCTGGAGTGCCTGTTTCGAGGCTTGCGAAGACGTTGTTTCTGCATGGAATAACGCCTCTCTCAATCACTGCCGAAGTGCCTGTCTCGTGTGGGAGGGGGCGCCCAGCTCACGGCGACTGTGGGGGGAGGCAGCACGAAAAAGCTTCCCCACCGGGCACCTGCCTGCTCAGGTGGACAGAGACCCCCTGCCAGCAAGGCTCACTTGCAGCAGTGCCAGACCCCTGGCCAGACCCCCGAAAACCTGTCTAGTGGCACAGAGGGGCGAGTCGCCCCGTGACCTGGCACGAAAAGGGGCAGGACGCCTATCTTTCCCACCCGCTCATCCAGGGGTCCCGTGGCTCAAACGCACGTACTTGAAACAGTTCTCTTCGTAGACACAGTTCCAGATCCTCCAGGCTTCGGGACCTTTGTAGCCGGTGTAGCGTTCCGGGTTGAGGAGCAGATCCACATATTCGGCCTCAGGGGACTGGATATCTAGCAGGGAAACATTCCCACTTTTAAACAAAATGCTGGATCCTGCCACATTTCCCTCAGCTGCCAAACCACCATTTCCTGGTCTGAAAGCAAAACCTACGACAGGAAGCCCCACAGTTTCTCTCTGTGCTGAGCTGTTTCCATCTATTCATGAAGGAAGCATTACTGTTTAAAACCATAATCGAATGCACATTTAGATGGGAAGCCTTGTAACTCCCAGCATCCCCCAGGTGGCCGAGCACAGCTGAATGGGGCATGCTGGGAACTGTAGGACTTCTTTCATCCAAATGTGCGTGGCACTGAGCCCTCAGGCCGAGAAAGAGAGAGAAGGTGGCCCGTACAAAGTTTCTACCATGCCATGTTGCACACATTATATAATAATTATGCCAGTTTCAGGAAGAGTGTTTTGCTGCTCAGGGCCAAAACTGCCCTACTAGGGGCAGCTTGGCTTCTTGTTCCTATACCTGCCCCACTGACCTAGAAAGCACGGATGGGAGGAGACTGCATGGCCAGTTTTAACCTCAAAAGAGTTACATGCATGCGAGGGGCTGAATCGACCTGTTTCTGCAGCTTCACCCAGTTTTAAAGTATGAAATGCCTCTTCCCCATTGCTGGCTGGAAGAAGCTAACACGTGCCACCATTTTGGCCCTGTCCCCTTTGCCTTGGCCTGCCCACCACTGAATGCAGCCCCAGCGTAAATTAAATCTGGCCCTCCTGCTGAAACAGCATTAAAAGTAACCCACAAGTTTGTATGCAAACAGGGCAGAGTTTGCAAAAACTTGCCAGATTCCATAGCTTCCTGTTTGGTCACCGGGAGATTGCCTGGCTGCCCCCAGTAATGGGGAAGGTGCTAATTATGTTAAAAGAGAGCGAGAAGGCTCTGAGCAGCCCGGAAAAAGCTTTTACAAGGCCCAACATGTTTCGGAAAGTGATTTTCAGAAGCTGCTTATCTTTTTCCAAATAATGCAGATGATCTTGCCAAGACTTCCTGCCTTGCAAAAGCTGACCAGCATGTTTCAGCAAAGAGTCTTTTGCAATGCAGGAAACCTCAGCAAGACCATCTGCACTACGTGGAAAAGAAGATAAAGCCGCTCTTGTCAAAGAAAACTTCTTTCCGAACCCTGTGCACTCAAGAAGAGATTGTGGAGGTGCCTGTGGACCCCACTGCTCCCATTTTTGGGCAGTCCAAAGAGGACGGCCGCTGCTCCTCCCAAGGCTGAGCCACCAGCAGAATCATCCGCTCTAATGGCACTTTTCCCCTGTGCTCTTTTTGTCCTTTCGATTTTCCCTCGTGACCCAGGTTAGTTGGAGGATTTTTTTTTTCTGACCCCACGTAAAAGAATAAAAAGGCAGAAACCGAGCTAATACCGCTGCCCTGGTGCCGTGTGCATTTGTATGTTCTGCAAGGTTTTTTAATCCTTCCAGCCACCTGAAACTTCACCATAAAACAGGGTTGCAGAACCTTAGAACTGCCCAGAAGAAAGATGCAGACAAGCTGGAAAGGGGTCAGTGAAGGGCACCAAAGGACTGGAGGAGAGACTGAAAGAGCTCGGAACTGAACCAAGGTTCAATTTGGATGCCAGGAAGTGCTTCCTGACAGTTAGGACCCAGAGGGTATGGAATAGGTTTCCACAGGAGGTGGTGGAGGCCCCACCGGTGGAGGTGTTCAAGGACAGGCTGGATGTGCACATGGTGGGCATGTCGTGAGCAGAGCCGGCTGGAGCGGGGGGTCAGACTAGATGGCCCGGGAGGCCCCTTCTGACTCACTCTGTTTCTCTGTTTAACCTTGGGAAGAGAAGACTGAAGGGAGACAGGCGAGCGCTCACCACTTTCTTGAAAGGCTGCCCAGACGCTGTGATTCTGTAAAGCTATTCCCCTTCTTGACAGCTGAAGCACCCTCTCCAGAGGCTTAGAGCCCTAAGCTACATCGTACTGGTATTTCTGGAAGTTTGCCCTTGCTTTTTTCATTCGGTCCCACCAGCCACTGGAATGCCGCCCCGACGGCTTCCCCAAAATGAAATCTAGCCCCATGGGAAAAGGGGCTCCTCATGCCTGCAGCCAAGGCCCCCACACACAGACACCAACAATACCATCAATTTCGCAAAAGTTTTCCGAAGAATCGTCGTGCCGCGTCCACCGGAGCAGAGCCTCTGCCGTTTCCTTGCTGCAAAACGAGCAGGAAGAGAGTTTGCCACTCAAACAGCACGAGGCGGTCGTGCATTAAAGAAGCAGTGGGCAGGGGCAGGGGCAGGTCGAGGTGAGGCCGGCACAAAACCAAGCCTGGGGCCTGCCAGAAGCGAAGGATCGCTCTCCCGCTGCAGGGCCAGCATGCCCAGGGACCTGGCTGCTCTCCATCACCCGTGAGCTAGCCAGGCCACGAGGGAAGGGGCGCCAAGGGCTGCTGTTTGGCTTGTTTGTTAACATTTTCCTCTGAGGAGCCCAAGGCAGCTTCCATGGGCCACCTCCTCTCTGTGTGCGACTGCCAGAGTTAAAAGACTCTCAGTCACACCGGTCGCGGGAGTAGAAACGTGTCCTCGGCTCCCAAATCAGCGTTTGTGGGAGGGGGTGAGAAGACGTAACGTGTGGAAACGCTGCCACAAGAGGCAAACCCAAACCAGGCTCTTCCTTGCAAGCCACCCCAAATTATCTAGGGGAAACTGTACCTCAAGGATCCATCCACAGCTCCGAGTCTCTCTGCTTCTTCACAGTCTTCGACCGAGGAGGCAGCCTCCCTGGAATACTGCAAAGCGAGAGCGGGCGCTGCAGAACCGATCCGAGCCCTCCGCCCGAGGAGGGCAAGCAGCTTGGAGGTCCGCGCCCAGCATCCTTCCCCCAGCCGGGGCACTGGTGACACCCGCTGATCGCTCTCCGAGCTGGAGCGGTGCATTTTCCGGGGAAGAAGGGATGAGCTGGGTGGGACTCTGTCGGGGGCGGGCTGCCAGCCATGCACGGATGGTGGAAAGGACTTGACCGCCTCTGCGGACGGGAGCCTGGGCACCGGCTCTACTCTGGATGTGGGCCGGCAACCAAGTGGCTCCTGACTTAAAGACTCGTCCTTTCTCCCTCTCCTCTGTAAGGAAACTGGGAGAGGAACTGTCTGTGCACGGACATCCCGACCACATGCAAAGCCAGGCTGGGCTCCGCTGGTTCCCCTGGGATCTCACCGTGACCTACCTTAAAGCTCTCGGATCGGATTCCACCGGGGACCTCGTCCTGAAAGCAGAGATTGCAAGACCAACGTCTGTCTTGTGCTTCCGTCCTCTTCCAAGCAGCATCCTTAACGCGTTGCTTCGCAACTAATTTTTGGGGGGGCATCTTGAATAGGAAGAGGGAGCAACTTCCCACCTTCTCCTGCCTCACCATGTCCCCTGAGATGGCTGGATGGCAACCAGGCAGCCAGAAGAAACCTGGAGGTGTGGGGAGGCCTGGGCCAGGGACCGCCAGTGGCCGACCCAGGCAGCCCACCGGCATCCTCACAACTCAAGCCGGGCCCCGGGAGCTCCCCGCAGGGGCCTCTCGCAGCTGGCCAGTCCCAGGGTGCGGGCTCACTCGTGAGGCGTCATTGCTGCTCTGCCTCCTTTGGCCCAGAACGCCAAAGGCACACCTGAAGCGCACCAGGCGGGAGGGAACGGCCAGAGTCCGCTGCACTGCTCACCAGGTGCAGAGCGCATTCAAGGCCTGCACTCTGATGGAGGAGCCGCCACCAACCCCTCGTTGCAAAAAGGAAACAGCTGTTGCAGCAGCCGGCATCGCTCACTCGCAGGCTCGGCTTGTTTCCGACCGGCATGCAGTCATCTCTGTCCATTGAGCCCAGTCAGGAACAGAGCTGGGAATTTTTTCTGGGTTGTAAACTTTGAAATATTCCTACAAAGTGCCGGGATTGCTTCCAGCTCCCTCTCGGCTCTCCGTGGCCTCTTACGGCTCCACATCTGGGCAGGCCACGGTGGGCATGTCATGAGCAGAGCCGGCTGGAGCCGGGGGTCAGACTAGATGGCCCGGGAGACCCCTTCTGACTCGCTGTTTCTGTTTCTATCTGTCTTTGCACACCACCTACGTTGGCTGACAGCAGGCGTGGACCCACGGCTTGCCCCACACGGCAAAAGCTCATGGGGAAGTGGTGTGGGGCTGAGCGGGCTGGCCCCTCCTATCCCGCATCGAGGGGCTTTCATGAGACAGTTTCCCACTGCGGAGCCAGAGAGAGCTGTGGCACTCTGTGAAAACTCAGGCGGCCCCTTTGCGCTCTCTGCAGGTGTCCCTGCTCACACATCATCCTCAGCGCCCCGTTCTCTCCGGTGTGAACACGCCGCTTCCGCAGGGGGTGTGCCCAGCCCCCGCGGCCCCAAGGACCACCCTGGCATTGTAGAACAGCTGTAACTCGGCTTGGTCCTCCTCAGCCTGGCACCTGCCAGATGTGCCTGACTACAAATCCCATCATTTCCAGATAGGATTTGCAGTCTGGAGGGCGCTAACCTGGGGAAGCCTGCCATCGCCCACTGGGCTTAAAGCCTTGGTGGAAGGAGCGAATCCCACAACCAGTGCTATAGCAAGAAACCTTTTCTGTGCTAGGAAACTCCTGTGACCTCGTAAAAATTTGGCGCTTGCCTCGAGCCACCCGTAAGGCAGTTGGACGATGTGCCCGCGCCCGGGGCAAGGACAGGGTATGGGGTGCGGGGGGCTTTTACTTACCGATGGGCATGGCCTCACGGCACAATCTCTAATCCCACAATGACTGCTGTCGCTCCAGAAAGGACAAGGCTTCTTCAGGTTAACCTGAAAAGAGTGGCGAGCGGAGAGGCCGTTCAACCAGGCTGAATCGAAAAGTGAAAGACACGGCTGACTTGATGGATCGTGAACAGATCGATGTCCCTCGGATTAGTAACCAGAAGTGTGGAACAGCGGAGCAAACGAAACCACTACTACCAGAGAGCATGTGGAGCGGTCGAATCTTTGTCTGTGCGCACACACAAAACGCAAACTAAAAGCGGAACTTACCTGGGCGCCACCTGGCTCCTAGGCAGAGGTCCTCCCCGGACGGCCTGTCTGTGACCCCCAAGGCTTTCTAACTTACCTAGAGTTGATCCTGAGCTCTGCACTGGAGTGACCTTTGCTATATTGTTATCTCTTGTATTTTAATTTATGTTGTGAGCCGCCCTGAGGCTTCGGCGAATGGGGCGGCATAGAAATGTTTTAATAAATAAATAAATAATAAATAAATAGTCCACCTACTAACTACTTTAAAAATCACAAGGAGGACTTCTATCAAACTTGGGAACCTTTTTATTATTGGCTGGAGAAACGGGACTTCGCATAGATTTAAATATGTTTTTAAGTTATCATAAATGGAAAAAGAAGGGCGTGGGGGCTGACCCAGCGGGCTCGATGTTTTTGATGATGGATGTTGTTTGTAGTTTTCTTTTTGTTTTTTTAGGATTATAATTTCTCAAATAAAACTTATTTTTTAAAAAAAATTACAAGGAGGAATTAACCCTATTTTTGTACTTTTCAGGGTGGGTGGTTCTCATCCAACCACTATTCCAGCAACAGAAGAGTTTGATTTTGCTTGGCTTAATTGTCGTTGTTACGTGCTGGAAGCTGTCTTCGACTTCTAGCAACCCTATGAATGAAGGCCCCAAAATGGATTTCCCGTAACAGTCCTGCTCAGCAATTCTTTGCTTAATTACAGGCAGAAAAATTAAGCAAAGAATTGGGATGGGGAGATACTGTGATGTGCCCCCAAGTTTAGTATTTCCTTCATATCCCCCCCCCACAAAAATGCACTTTTTCTGCAGATTGGGCACAACTCCCCATACAGTTCTATAGCCAAAGCTACATACCTATTTATTTAAAACTTTTTGATACCGCCCACTACCAATGTCTCAGGACGGTTTGACAGTTAAACAGAACAAAAACAAAAAACAAAACAAAACACAGCATCCTGATTAATTTCTAGTGATAAAACCCATTTCTAGTGATAAAAACATATGTACAGGTGCCCCTGCCTGGCTTTCCTTCCCCTTCCTCTATTGTCTTTCTGTGTCAAATGCTTCTGAGTGTAAGCTCCTCTGGGCAGGGACCCTATCCCCTTCTACCTGGTAAAGAGCCAGGCTCTTTCATGGCTACTGCAGCCTTTTAGAGCAATGCATAATGGTTTCATGTAGGAAATATGCAGATCTCCTTAATTTGGGGGACTACAACTCCCATCAGCCACAGTTAGGGCATTCTAGTCCGACGTTACACACCCGATTTAATGCTTGTCACTTGGAAATGCATCCACCAGTGCGGAACAGAGAAATACAGAATACAGCCCAGAACAGAAGACCCAAGAATATTAAACAGGTATTCTCTTTCTCTCCGAGAAAAGAAAGTTCTGGATGTTAACCAACAACCTTCAAACTACCCATATCTGGTTTCACACTTGAAAAGATTCACCATAACCAACTCTAAAAGGCACATTCTATTCAAGCAAGTACCAAAGGATCCCTCTGGGGGATAGAGAAAGAGAACAGCGAATGAAGAACGTATTAAACTGTACCTTGTAATATCTGAAATAATCGCTTTCTAGGAGCTTCTGCAGGCGGGGGAAGATCTTGAAGTTGTTGTAGGTGTCTACAGTCTCAACATCACAGGAGCAATCATCTAAATGGCCAGTCACCTGATAAATATGGAGGCAACAAAGATTAAAAAGCATTACAGTAACTAGGGTGTCTGTTGCAACAATACCAAGATGATCAGCATGTATCTAACATGCTCGAGTTATCAAAATATGCTCTGTTATTACATTGCAAATACATCCTGCCTTTTTCCCTCTTGCAAGCTACCCAAGGCGGCTGAAACAGTCCTGCTCCGCTCCATTTTATCTTCACAACAGCCTTGCGAGGTAGCTTAGGCTGAGGGTGAGTGACTGGCCCAAAGTCACCCAGGCAGTGTCATGGCTGACTGGGGACTCGAACCCGGATCTCCCCGGTCCCCAGTCCGGCATCTCACCAGCACAGCACACTGGCTCTCGTTTGTCTTCACAACAAGCCCAAAGGGCAAATTACACATTTTATTTATTTATTTATTAAAACATTTTTATGCCGCCCCATTCGCCGAAGCCTCGGGGCGGCTCACATCATCACACGCAATTCTGTGGTTTCACAGCCTTTAAAAATAAAAGCAACCCTCAAGGAATGAGCGTCGCATCTGCTGCCTGTCCCAACTGTTGCCTGATTCGGTCGTTTGGTTTTGAGGCTGCTGTTTAATCCCACACGATGTACCCTGCTGGCTTTTTAATGATAGCCAAACCACCTGGGTAGGAAGGGTGTCCTCGCCGGAGTGTAATGCTCAAAGGAAAGTTTCCAGGGGGCTGTTTCGGGCCGGCCACTGCTGGCAGGGGAGGCCAAGCGCAAGACAAGCCCCCTCCCGCCCCGCCGGGAGCCAGCCCTTCCGAGGAAAGCCGCTTCCGGGCAGGAGGAGACTCAGCCACGGCCCTACGGCACGGCACGTAGGCTAGGAGGAAGTGGCCCAACGGCAAGGCAGGGAGACGCAAATCTCTGCTTCCTTCCTTGTCGCCAGCTCCCTCCAGCGAAGCTGGCTTGGCACGACGGGAACCGCAGGTAAACGCCTCTGGAGGGCAAAGGCGTGGGGATCTCCCCAGTGCAGGTCCAGGCAACACACAAACCTCCCCATGGCGTGCATGCGTGTGTGCGTGCACATGACACCTGCTGACTCAGCCTTGCTGCAACCGGCAGCGATGTGGCTTCTTCCTGCCGTGCTCGGCAAGCGGCCCAGGGTTGGGCTTAGCCGGTTTCCTCTTCCACCACCAGCAGGCACATTCATCTCTGAAGCTGATAAGGCGGACTCAAGGTACGCCCCTTTGTCTCAGAGAGACTTGTCTTGCTTTCGAATCATGCGATGGAGCTGGCTGGACACGAAGTCTCACTAGCAGAGAGACACACTTCTACACACCCCACAGTGACAGACTTCCAGGTACTTGGGAGGGCTCTCCTACCTCCCCTCAAGCTTCTGTTCCCAAGGCTCAACAGGCCCAGTTCTTTCCATCCCTCTTCAAAGGGGTCTGTTTCCAGTCCCCGGATCACCCTTCTTTCCCTCCCCTGTACCCTTTCTAGCTTGTCTGCATCTTTTTCACCTGTGGTACCCAGAACTGGACACGGGACTCCAGGTGAGGCTAGGGGAACTATGCACCAAAGAAAATATTAAGGCATTAAAAATATTAAAAAGCCGGCAGTAAACTTAATTATCGGAGCAGTAGATTAAAAATTAAATGTTCACCAGAAGAGGGAGGACAAGACTTAACCTGGCGTCTAAATGTACACAGCGACCACACCAGGAGGATGTCCCTGGGATGGCATTCCACAGACAAGGGGCCAGCATGGAGCAGTCTCTTCCCCTGGTGCGCGGGAGACCACCTGGGCCACAGGGGGAATTATTTCACATGGCTGCATCCAACACTCAGACTTCTTAGGATCTTAAAAAGAAACCTGCTGGACACGACCAGAGGTTGACCAGGGTTAATGTCAGCACTTTGCTTCCACTGTGGCCACACAGAGGCTCACGAGTGCCACAGCACCTCGCGCCCATGTTCCCCAGGAATTGACCGACAGGTGCCTCTGATCCTGGAGGGAACATGCAGCCAGCACATTTGACTAGTCCTCCCTTCCTCTAGGAACTTGTCCAGTCCTTATTTAAAGCCCTCCAAATTGGTGACCCTCTTAGCATCCTCAAGAATTGAGTTCCACAGGTTAACAGTGTGCCCTGTGAGCTCATTTTTGACATCTGTTTTTGACAGCTTGGAGAAGATCCAGCAAGCCAAAGAAAACAGAGATGGAAAAGGTCCAGCCTTTAAGTTTCACATTTCGAAATGAGCAGCGATGAGGAATATTTCGAAAGCTAATGAAAGCTAATGCCCTTTCAGGCAGTATCACCACCAAACCTTTCACAAGCCTTGATCTTTTTGGATCCCTCCTCCTCCACTGGACTGACACGGATGGGAGGAAATGGGCTTGTTTAAGCAAAATCCAGATACAGAGTTTGCTGCCCTGCTCTGCAGCTGCTGCTGCTCCTTCAACAGCAGCTAAAATATTTCATAGGAGCAACATTAGCCCTGCTTAAGGCTAAGCAGTATCCCTACTCGACCAGGGCTTCCCACCAGGTCAGACAGCGAGCAAGACGGCAGGGAGAGAAGCGTGTGATTCCAAAACCCACTCCAGAAACTGCGGCAAAGCAAGATACTATTCGCTTTTATTTCCTCAGCATGAAAGCAACACCCAAAATTGTCGCCCGGTTGTTTGCCCCAGCTCAGAAAGATGCCACAGGAAAGCCACTTCTACAGCGGCAAGCCTCAGAAACCACGCACAAGGAGGCCTTCTCAGAGCGAAGCACATTTTTAGACGGGGCCTAGCCAGCGTGGCAGAGTGCTTTCCACTACACAACACAGGCAGATATTGACTTCCACCCACACGGCATCACGCATGAGAATTGCAGCGCCATTATTCACCCGCCAATCCACCTCTGTTTATGAAAAACGTCATCCCCTCCAGTTGCCAGGTGCATCATCGGTGAAGTGCGAGAAGGCACCCGTGAAGGCCACTCCCACACACACCTAGAGAGCATCACAAGCCACGGGGAACTAAAGCATTAATCATCCCCTAAGAAAAGAATTAGGGAAATTCGAGGAACTCTACCACCATCTAGCACTGGATGAGCAACACGGCGGTACAGGATGGCAGTCGACGTTGCACGGGAGATGCTGAAGCCAGCATGTTTTACAGCAATCCGTGATTTGCTGCTTCTGTTTGCAGGATTATATTTTATGCATGTGATTTTCGTTTTCCTAAAGCTTAAAAATAAAATATTTGTAGAAAACTGAGCAAGGCATATGTCCACAGGCAGCTGAGGCTTAAGTGTGAGTCCCTACTCAGCCTGAGACTAGCCAATTGGAATGGATGGATCTTTTGGGGGGAACATAAGCTGCAGTTATGGAGGACCCGATCTGGACTGGGACCTTAAACTGCCCCAACTGCCTCCCCACCCCCCCATTAGGGTCTCAGTCCTGCCTGGGACTCTCATGCTTACCTGAGTGGCAGGGGGAGAGAGCTGCTGGCCAGGTTTTCAAAGGTTTTTGATGGTAAACAAACAGTTTGAAGCCCACACAATGCACAAAGGCCATCTTAATATGATTTCATGTTTTGACTGGGTCACCTCCCTGGTGGACTATGGGAATGCCGTGGACATAAATCTATCTTGACTTCTGAAAAGTTTCTGACAAAGTGCCCCATGATACCCTGATGAGCAAACGAGCTAGAAGTGGGCCAGATGGAACCACGGTCAGCTGGATCCACAGTCAGCTATAGAATCGGACTCAAAGAGTGCTCATCAAAGGCACCTTCTCAAACTGGGGGGAGGGAAGAAACGGGGTACCAGAGGGTTTAGTCCTGGGCAAGGTGCTCGTCAACATTTTTTTAATGACCTGGATGAGGAAGTGCAGGAACAATGATCAGATTTGCAGATAACACAAAACAGGGTGGGATAGCTAATACCCCGGAAGATAGAAATAATATTCAAGATGATCTTGATAAGGTCGGAGAGCAGGGTTGAAAAAAAAGAAGGGAAATCAATCGGGAGAGATGCCAAGTTCTGCACGCAAGAAAAAGAAACTCAACACATCAATACAGGGAATACTTGGCCCAAAATACTGCAAGCGAGAAGGATCTTGGAATTGCAGATCATACGCTAAATATGAGCCAACAATGTGGTGTGACTGCAAAAAGCACGAATCCTATTTTGGTTGCATCTATAGAAGCATTACTCCCAAATCATGTGAAGTCCTAGTTCCCCCTTACTCTGCACTGGGTAGACCTCGTGTGGAGTCCTGTGCCCAGATAAGGCACCACAGCTGAAGAAAGATGCAGAGAAGCTGGAAGGAGTTCTGAGGAGGGCTGCAAGGGCGATTCAGGAACGGACAACTAAGCCCTGTGAGGAGAGACAGAAAGAAGGGGCAGGAAGAGAAGCCCCAGGGGAGATAGGATAGCGCTCTCCACTCACCTGGAAGTTTGTCACAAAGAGAAAGGCCAGGTTCTCTTCTTGATCACTGCAGAGTGCAGGCCACAGAATAAGGGATCAAGTAACAGGAAGCTAGATCCCAACTAGACAGTAGGAAAACCTTCCTGACTGTTAGAGCAGGACAACAATGGAACCCATTACCTGGGCAGGTGGTGGGCTCTCCCACCCCCCCAGGCATTCAAGATGCACTTGGACAGCCACCTGAAAGGAATGCTTTAACTTGTGTCCTGCACTAGACTGGGGATGGGTGGGCCGGAGGGCCCTCAGGCTCCTTCCAGCTCTACAATTCTATGATTCACCCAGAAGAGAATCTACTGAAAAAAATCGAGACCTGAAAGAATACATAAGAATAACCGAAGCACAAGTACACGGAGCAGGGCTAACTTGAGAAGGCTCAGAAGTTTGACCATTTAAAACAACAGCTCAAAGAGAACATCTCTGGGCCTAGTTGGGGAGCCCATTACAAGCTGCTCACACAACCGGGCTTAGGGACCAGAGCTGCTACATCGGATGACAAAGTTTTGCGGCTAGTCTAGCCCACACATGACCCACCTGCTCACCCGAAGGCGCATCGCCAGTAATCCCATGCATAATGAACTGGGGGTAAAGCTTATCTAACCCTCCACTACTGACTTCCCAGTAAGAGCAGATGAAAGTATCACAGGTTCAGTTGAGCCCCGAGCCTACAAGATCACCTCTAGGGTCCAAACCAGGACCGTGTGATTACTAACAGCAAAGAGTGGCCTGGAATCAGGTGGCCCAAAATTAAGATACGATTCAGCTGATATGCTGAGGTGTGTCCACTCAGAGGCCAGTTCCCCTGAATCGGTGCCTCCATCATCCCGCTTTCGCCCACTCCTTTACAGCGCCAAGTGCAGAGCAGGCTTCCCCAAACTGAGGCCCTCCAGGTGGGCTGGAGACCAGCTCCCACGGTCCCCATGGCTGGAGCCCCCACTGAGGAGGGCGAGAGGCCCTAGGCTGCAGCCCTAGGCACGCTCGGGCAGAAAAGTCTCACCCACCCAGCCTTCAGCTAGTTCACACAGGGCTGCTTCTCCAGCATCCAGAAGCATTTCACCTGCAGCTCTCCCCTTGCCCTCCTTGCAGTCCTGTAAGGTAGGCTAGAATCAGGGCAGCCCCCAAGGCTGAAGAGTACGCCGGGGGTCTCCGCGGCTCCCCCTCTAGCCTCCGAGGGCGGGCGGCTCATCTAGAGCGCAAGGCGCGGCCGCGACGCGGAAACCTCCCCGGGGGGCGGGGGAGCGCGAGAGGCACGGGCACCCGCGCACTGGGCACCTGCTGCCGCCCCGGGACCACCTCCGGCCGCGCGGAAAGCCGCTCCATCGCCCCCCCCCCACCGCGCGCAGCCGCCGGCTCGGGCTCTCCGCCGCTCTCTGAGCGCGTGCAGAGTGGCGGCGCGCCTGGCGTGGCCTGCGGGGGCGTTCCCCCGTCCCGCTCCGCGGAGACGCGCCGCGCCGAGGCCGACGGGCAGGCCGTGCGTGTCCGCGAGTCCCCCGCGTGGGGCCGGCGCGCGCGTCCGCCCTGCCCGTGGGAGGCGCCGGTGCGCGGCAGGCAGGCGCGGGAGCGGGGCGCGGAGCGGGCGCGGAGCGGCGCTCACCTGGCAGAAGCAGCGCTGCTCGGCGGACGGAGGGTGCGCGGCGGCGCAGGCGGCGAGGAGCAGGGCCAGCAGCGCCCGGCGCAGCGGCGGAGCGCTCATCGCGGGGCGGGGGAGGCGAGGCACCGCGCGGCTCGGCTCGGCT